TTACGAGTTACGAGTTCAAATCCTGCCACCGCCAAATCAGCGCTTGAGTAGTACTTCGGTACGCAAAAATGTTGGTCAATAATGGATGCTACTTTGGGTTAGTCTTAATGACTATGTGGCTGTTCTTATGCAAAGCCAACAATATCTGGATAGAAAAAAAATGTATAGAAAAATATAGCATGAAAATTCGAAAAAAGAAAAAAAAAAGAACTCTGCTGAATGCGAAAATGTTTATAAAAAATAGCTAGTCGAGCATTAGTCGCAAAAAATAAGGTCAGCATTGCAGAATGTTGAGCCTAATTCTGAGGGCTGATATTAGGGTGTTTCTTAGTTGGTGTTAAAAAATTTTTTTTTTTTGTTTTTCTTACCAAAATGAGCCATTTCAGTAGGCTACCCACTTATTATATAAATTAAAAACATCCATTTTCTGTCATTGCATTTCTACTAAAAGACAGCAATAAACATTGCATTTATTAAAAGGCAGCAATAAACATGCTTTTTTACTTTGATTGTAAGTTTATTTAAGACAATAGTTACAGTACTAAGATTAATCGCTCATGAGAGTTGTCTTTTTCTGTCAGGATATTTCTGTCTTTATTTTTGAACTACCAGCAACAGGAACTGCTTTTGCTTTTTGTTATTTGTATGTAGTCTATTATATTCGTCCATTAGTACTACACCCTGTTTTGCAATGTTGTTAACAACCTTCATGCTTTGAACAGTGGACTTTACAGTCTTGAACTCATCATCATGTTCCCATTCAATCACACTGTTTTGGAAAAAGTGTTATGGAAGTCATGTGATGTTGAAAAATCTTCGTGTATTAAATGTGACAAAATCCTCTAGTTTTTTTTCTTGGATAACTGAGCAGTCCACAGTAGCCCATTTCATAGGTATCTGATCTGAAACATTGTTCAATGCTTGGACCATATTGACCTTCATCTCAGGGCGAACCTCATTATCAAAAAAAGCTAAAGCAACAAGTTCCTCTGATAGGTACCAGAGATGCCCTTGTAACTTCTTTACAGCAATTTTTGAGATCTTAGGATGCTGGGTCTTGTAGTCATCCAAGTCTTTCAAGAGCTGCAGATCAAGTCTAGGAGCTGAGGTTGCTTCAGGAGATCTGTACCAGGCTGTAATGTACAGTCGAACCGTGAAAAAGCAAATATTCCTTATTCCCTTCTCTCTTTTTGTCAACCTGAATTGGTCTCTAAACATCCAAATCTTCAATGCATAAATAGCTTTCGCCATCCAGTGAGCACAGTGTAGACTGGCAGAAGCTCTAAATGAAATGCTCCTCGAAGGTGTTCCTCCCAAAAAACAATAGACAACTCCAAAAGTTCTTGGTAGTCGTCACAAGGTTGAAAGATTTGTAGTTAATCATTGCAAAAGACAACTCTTTTGTCAGTGATATCGGTAAAAGCATTAAAAGCGTTCTTATCAGACTGTGCTGTGTGGTACTTTGTGGAATCAATTGAGACCCATTTTTTCTGAAATCTTTTAAAGAGTGGTATGTCAGGTCCACTTGAAGGGCCGAGACATAGCAAAACTACTGCTTCCAAATTAATTTCCAGAAGATGGTGACGACATGCCATCCACAATATATCTTTCCCAAACTTCTGCTCTAGAAAAATGTAACCCCTATTTCTTGGTCCAGTATTGGCTGCAGTAGTATTAAAGCACATACACTTTACTTGATTGTTAATTCCCCATGCCACTGACACATCATGCACTGCAGATGCCACATTTTCACCTGTTCCTGATGGTAGTTTTGGGACACTAAGAAGCTGCTGCATTCCTACTCTATATACTAAAATTGAAAGTCGGTCAACAGTTTCTTTAGCGGTGATATCAGCGAGTAATTTTCCATCCCAATGAATACATAAAGGAACTTCTGGTTTGAATTCCTTCCTTAAACTTTATGCTATCTTCTTGCGGTGTTTTAAACTGGATTAACATTGTATTCTATTGGATCATGACCAAGAAGTTGTAATTCGGGTGTTAACACAAGTGCCGCCCATGATCACTCAATTTAGCCACATCTAAATTAGCCGCGAACTTCTCATTCAGTATATTTTTCCTGCCAGGTCTAGGACGCTTTGGAGCCGGTGTAACTAAAGTTGATGGCTTAGGGTCATCTTGGTTACCAGGCAAGGCATCTTCTTGAGTTTGCTATCTTCTTTAGGGTTATCTTCACCTTCAGATGATGATGAAAGAACAACTGTTTCTTCTCAAGATTTTCTTTCCATCTTCTCTCGGTCCCTTTTTCGGTTCATTTCTTTTTGTCTTTTTCTTGATACTTCCTTTGCTTTGCCTTATCAACTGGACATTTTGCCTCTCTTTTTGGCATAATAGGAAGTCCTTATCCTCCTGAATGGTGATCATTTCCAATGCGTTAGCATGGACAATATTGAATTTCGATTTTAGGGACAACGTGCTTCTTTAATTGCACAGGTATTTGGGCCTTCGATCAAATCTTAAAAACATCATTTGCTGTGGAATGTAATGCTTCCCTAATGCTTTACTTGGTAATCTGCTTGTAATGGAAGAAAAGAGCTAACACTTCCCTTATTGATGGAAGCATAACACTATCTAAAGAAGAGGACATCTGTCCAATAAGCCATATCTCAGTTTTCTTTCTAGTAGCTATCGTTGCACTGGTTGATGAATACATCACTGTACAGTAGTTACACTAGTTTAACCTGCAAAAGGAATAATTAAGCATTATAGACACAATTCTGCACACTAAAAGTAAAAAAATTACTAGTTAAAAAAGGTTTGTACACTAAGCACCAACCACTTTTGTTGCATAACATCATACGCAACATAAGCATTTTTAGGGTACATTTGCGCAATATTGTAGGGTCGGTAGCCACCCCTAAAAATCATTCTAAAAAAAAAAAAAGAAACACCCAGTTTTATTTTCAAAAAAAATTTAAATTCAAATAATCTTTTATTAAATTTTAAGAGATTTATTTTCAAATAACTTTTGTTCTAGTTAATGAATTATTAGATATATCAAACATGCTTATTGAATTTATTCAATTTTTTAATATTTCAATACAATATTTCATGCTTTTGCAAAGTGCGTGCAAATTAATGATAATTAAAGGCCGTTTTCCACAAGATGAAAAAAATTTCACAAAGCGAAATTTTTCGTCATGATGAAAGGCCATTTTGATTTCCATATATTTTTCGCCCTACTGCTTTTGTTATCAATAAAAAATGGCAGCTATAAGTTTATGATATATGGTTTTGAAAAAAAAAACATGAATATAAATTTTCTTTTGATGTTTATCTTTATTTTTTTAGAATGTTTAAGAAAATAAATGATAACTTCTCATAGGAACACTTCTGTTGAAAAACTGTTACTGTAAGAAGTAATAGATGGTTCAACTCTGAAAGAAGATAAACCTTCTTGTGAAGTGAAACTTCATTAGAAGTTTCACTTCACAAGAAGTTAATTAATAAATTCATCTTTATTTGATGAATTTGCCAATGCTTGCCAATTTTCAGGGTGAGTTCTAAGTAAATAAGAATACCATGTTAGCATTTTGTTTGTTGTTATTGCCATTTTAAAAAAAGCAATGTGCTTTCGCTTTTTTTTACTGTTGACTTTGCATGATATATTATTTAAATATATTGGTTTTTGCTCATAATGATCAACTTTGTTTTGTTGCTGCAGCGAATTGATTGATCAGCAGAAATGTTTTATCTGCGCATGCTTATTGAAGAAAAAATCTTGTCTAGTGGAAAACGGCATTGATAATATGCAATAACTTAATGATTGTAAAAGGTTATCTATTAATACAAAATAGTGATTTAGTTTGTTAAATTTGTTTACTTATAAAAAAAACTTATTTACTTGAGGAAATTAAAGTCAAAAGGAAACTAAAAATAAAATAGAAGTTGTATTAACTTTTCTATTTGAAATCTTTAAAAATAATAATATTATATTAATTATTTAATAAGTTATTATGTTAAGTTATTACTATATATTTAATATGATATTATATTATACTTTTTTTAATATTAAAAATATAATTATTTTTTTAATAAAAAAATATCATATTATGACTATAATGAAAAATTAAACTATAATAAACAAAATAATTCTATATATTCTATTAGATATTATATATTTTAGCAAAACTTGAAAATTCTTTTTAAAACTTTTAAAAGTGTTTTTACTATGCAAACAAACATAACTTCACTTAAGCAATAATAAGAAAATTAAAAAAAAAGCACGCTTTTAAATAAAGCAATGTTTAGTATGGTTTTTTTACTCCAACACCAACATTTGTTTAAGTAAAAGTAAAGAAACATGGCGTTTGTTTTTCTTTCAGGAGCTTCAGTACATACATCGACTGACAAATAGCTCAACTCGCAGCGTGTTGCTACATCGATTGAGGGTTTGGTATGGGGCAGCAATCTTTTCTATTTTTAATCTTCATTTTTGTTCTTCTTTTTCTGAAAATGCCATATGCTATAATATATTTATATATATATATATATATATATATATATATATATATATATATATATATATATATATATATATATATATATATATATACATATATATATATATGTATATATATATATATACATATATATATATGTATATATATATATATATATATATATATATATATATATATATATATATATATTATATATATATATACACTCCACTGTAACTTTATATTTTAACAGTTTTTTTGTTTCTTGATTTGTATTACATGGCTGATGATTGCCTCTAGGCATAAAACTATTAGTATCATAAAAAGATGTGTTTTCTTTTTTTTTATAAATTTATATATATATATATATATATATATATACATACATACATACATACATACATACATACATACATACATACATACATACATACATACATACATACAACCAGAGATTGTTTTTTATCTAAAGTTGTGTGATAAAAATTTATATAGCAAAAAATACTATGTATCATAATAAATGGCTATTTTGTCTAGGATTTGGATAAAATTGAAATAAATCTTGGAGAATTGGATTTATCATCACAAGATGAAACTATATTAGATGAACTTGATGGTTTATATATAATTTTAAAGTTGCAAATTTTAAATTTTTTGTTTTTGATTTTTTTTGTTTGTTTGTTTTTGTACTGTTTTCAATAACTATATTTTTATCTGTTTGTAATTCTGTTTAGACTTTATTCAAAGAAATCTGCAAGATGAATTAGTAAATAATGCTTTAAATAAGGTTTCTTTTTCTTTTTTAATTAAAACCATTTATAAAAAACAATTTTTATTATAAAATACAATAACACTATGTAACACAATTTTTGTTTCTGGCTTCTAATTGTTATATTTCAATTGCTTATGTCTAAAGTATGTAAAAAAATGACTTCATTAAGCACAAACATTTACACCACAACAACACAAAGAAAACTCATTTTTTAAAAAATAAGACTTTTTTTTTTCATTTTGCACATTATGATCAGCTAGTAATGATTATGATCAGGCAAAAACAAAAAGTGCACAAGGAATAGACAAAGGCAGTTGAAAACCACTCAAAAAGTTCAGAAATGTTTAGATTTTCTAGATTTACGATTTTACTGTGAAAAACTCTCTCGAAGTAACCCCCAAATGTAGTCCCCTATCATGTTTTTGTTATACTGTCCTTTGTAAGGATGTTCAAAGTTCAATATATCTTATTGAAAGCGCTCACCTTGCTCCTCTGAGGAATGTTCTCCTTAAATTTGTTGAGATGCCAATCATAGGTATGAACTTTCAAAGACATTCTGCATCCCATTTTGGCGTAATTCTTTATTAGAGTCTGCACCAACTCCACATAGTTTTCAGCTTTGTGATTACCTAGGAAGCCCTGAACAACTACAACAAAACTGTTCCAAGCCTGTTCTGCTGTCCTTTTCAACAGTTTTGCGAAATCCTCAAATAAAAAATATTCCCTTTATAGGTAAAGTGGGTATTTTTTATTTAATTACTATATTTACCTAATTTAACAACAAGCTATTTCACGTTATTACAGACTTTTTATTTGTGTTCTATACACTTTTTTTATTTAGTTGCTATGGATTCTTCATTTTGTACAGCAACAAGTTTTTTGCAATCAGTTTATATATAAACTTCATTATATATAAAAAAGCGCGGTTGTTTTGACAATATTAAAATTATTCCAATAAAATTTTATTCTTAAGTTTGGAGTTATTCCTTACACTGGGCAGCATTAAGCTGAATTTATTTTTTCTTGCAGTTCACTTGCAACTTTTTCATCTATCATGGTTAATTCTAATATATGTTGTACTGTTGAGCCATTTGATAAAACCTTTCAAGTCAAGTTTTTGTTCCTCTGCTTTGATGACTTCTTATTCCTCCAAGAATAATTAAAGTTGACAAAGCTCATAAGTCAAACTCAGTAAGATTCAGCCATAAAAACATTAGCATCTTATTTAATTTGAAAATGTGTATAAAAGTTTGAAAATGTGTATAAAAAAAGCATGGAAATATTATAAACTACTGAATGCAAATTAAAAGAAAAAGTTGATTTAACATTATTTTTTTAATTTTTAGTGTATTTTTAAAGTGTTAAGTCTGTTTTTAGGGTGTTGATCTTCGCCAGTATTCAAAACAAGTAGAAGCAGATTTGAGGATGGTAGAGAATGACTCTATTGAAGATTGTATCTTTTCTTAAAATATTTTTTTTAATATCTATAAAACCAATGAGCATTTAATTGTATTTACTTAATCTTTTCATTAAATCTTTATTTTTTGGTCCACACTCTTTTTTTATTTTTTATTTTTTGATCCACACTCTTTATTTTATTTGATGATAAACTATTTGATAACATAATTAGCATAATTATCAGTTCTTAACAGATTAGGTAGATATCAAAGAGAGTAATAATATTTCAAGCTTACATAAACAAATTAAAGCATGTGATGGAATCTTAGAGGTTTGTTTAACATTTTTATCTGAAGGTTTTGCATGCATTAATTGTTAAATTCTTTTTTTTTTTTTTGCTTCTTTTACTATTTTGGTTACAACCTTCTCTAAACTATTTATCTCTGAAACACAAATCGTAAACATGGTTTATATATAAAACGGTTGCTGCCCCATCCCAAAACTCTTAGGCTATGTAGCAGCACTCTACTGTGAGTCAGGCTATTAGTCAGTCAATGTATGTACTGAAGCCCCCGGCAGCAGGCTATTTCAGTATGACGTCACACTGCTCACTTAACTCAGCAGTATAAGATATAGCAGTATAATTTTTTTTTTTTCTATGATCTGTTGAAAAAATTAAAAACAAGATCAAAAAAAAGTTTTTTTTTTTCTAAATAAAAAGATTGTCTGCTAAAAAAAAAACCCTGAATAGATGTAGGGGCACTATTTGCATGCCCTACCTATTTAAGTCAGTTGATGTATGTACACTCCTTGCATGTTCTATCTATTTCAGTTGATGTCTGCTGCAACAATCTCTAAGTAAATCAGTTAAAAAAATTGCATAATAAAATAGTATAAAACATAAAAAAAAAAAAAAAATAGACTCAAGTCAATTAAGTTTGTATTTTTACATTAATTTAAAATATGTTCAATTTTTTTTATGACTATTTCTTAAATTTCTAATTGCCGCTTTGCAGCTAAAAATGATTTTTTTATTTTAAAAAATTTAGAGAGTAACAAATAAAAAAATTATGTTAATTTATTTACTTTATTTATTAAAAGTTTTTTTTTTAGCGATTTTGTTGTGAAAGCAAACATTATACCTGACCACCATTTGTTAAAATTGTATCATTTGTTAAAATTGTATCATTTGTTAAAAAATAATCATTGCGCTTTAACTTGCATTATAAAAAAAAGTTTAACTTATGTTTTGTGCAAAATTTTTATGCAGCCTCGCAACACAATTATTTAAAATTTAATTTTGAGTAAAAAAAAAAAAAAAATTAAGTAGGAAAATTGGAAAAACAATTGTGATAAAAATTAGCTAATTTCTTTTAAGAATAAATAAAATTTAAACATGGAACAATATTTAGTAATATTTTAAAATAAATTTGACAGTTAAGAAACCCAAGCATTAACTTTGATTTTAATAAATTTAAAATATTTTTTATAATAATAAAGTTTAACTTTTTTTGTTTTTATTAATTATTAATTTTTTATTATTAAATCAAAATTTAAGTAAATTTTTTTGCTAACCAGATGATAAAAGTTAATATATTTTATATTTTTTTATAGTTTTTTTTTTTTTGTTTCATTTTGCTTAATAACATCGTATACAGAAAAAAAAAAAAAAAATTATCATTAACTATAAACAATTTTGTTTTCATTATTATTATTATTATTAATTAATGCTGTTGAGATAAAGCGCCAGGCAATATCTATGACAGCCGGTATAAATTAATTAATGAACAAGTTAGTTCAGTCACTAAATAATAAAAAAAACGTTAATAGTAAGCTTTCTTGGTTTTTATCTTGTTTGTTATTGCTTCTAAGTCGACCGATTGCAAGTTTAATTTGAAGCTTTTAACTGTAGTAGATTGAACAACTTCGGCTGGTAGACTATTCCATCCATCGACAACTCTATTGCTGAAAAAATATTGCCTTTTCAAACAATTTCTGACCAATTCAGGTTTCATTCGATGTTTTGCTCCTCTAATGTTAGCTGCAGGACCTGATGAGCAAATAGAGTTCATTGTTTGATTTTGTTTAATATCAATGATTTCAATACCTTTAAATATTTTGAATTGCTGGATTAAATCGCATCTTAGCCTTCTAGTCTCCAAAGTAGTCAAACCCAAAATTTCCAATCTTTTTTTGTACTCAAGATGTCTAAGCTCCGGTATCATTTTGGTAGCTCTTCGTTGGACTTTTTCTAGTTCATTAATATCTTTTGTATAATATGGACTCCATGCTTGAATTGAAAACTCTAAATTTGGTCTAACATATGTACAATACAGTGTTTTTATTAGATCTTTATCTTTGTACTTGAATGTATTATTTAGTAGTGAGAGTATACTATTTGCTTTACTAGCTGCATATTTTACTTGTTTGGCCCATTTTAAATCATTTGATATATAAACACCAATGTCTTTTTCTAATTTTGACTTTTCAATTTCCATTAATGTATTGTTATTGTTCATAAAATATGAATATTCGTTATTATTTGAACCAAAGTGCATAATTTTACATTTTTCAAAATTTAATCCTAATTTCCATTTTGTTGACCATTCGTCAAGTTTATTTATATCATTTTGAAACAATTGTGAATCATTTTGAGAAGAAATAGGTGCAATTATCTTATTATCATCAGCATATAAACGACATTCATTAATAAAATTTTCTGGTAAATCATTTATAAATATCAAAAAAAGGAGAGGACCTAGAACAGACCCTTGTGGTACACCACTAAGTACATCAACCCAATCTGTCACACTTTTACCTAAAACCACTCTTTGTTTTCTGTTAGCTAAAAAACAGACGATCCACGTAAGAAGTTTACCAGAAATACCAAAAGTCAATAACTTGGATAATAACTTTTTATGTGAAACACTATCAAAAGCTTTTTTAAAATCTGTGTACAATACATCTACCGGTGTTCTATTGTGGAACGCATCTGTTAAAATATCTAGGTATTCTAATAGGTTTGTTGTACAGCTCTTGCTTTTCATAAAACCATGTTGTTTTTTTGAAAGTAAATTATTTTTTATGAGATGTTGCATGATACAATCAGCGATTATTCTTTCTAACACTTTACATGGTATTGAAGTTAACGAGACTGGTCTGTAGTTAGATGCTTTTAATTTGCTTCCTTTTTTAAAAAGTGGCATTACATTTGCCTTCTTCCACTTATCTGGTAGGGTACCTGTTTCCATCGATTTTTTGAAAATTAAATATAATGGGTATGAGATTGACGAGCTGCATTCTTTTAAAACATATGGATGAACAAAATCAAAACCGACTGATTTTGATTTATCAAGTGCTTGAAGTCTAGTTTGAACATCATTTTGTGTTATTAAAACTGTGTTTAACAATAAATTTGAAGGTATATTATGAAACTCAGTAATATTTGTACAATTATCATTAACATACACAGAATGAAAATATTTATTTAGTTCAGTAGCTATGGCGAATTGATCATTTATGATTTCCCCATTATCAATTTCCAGAGCTCGAATATGAGTTTTCACTGATTTCTTCTCATTGATATATTTATAAAGCAATTTAGGATTTGATTTAAACTTGCTAGCTAAAGTACTTTCAAATTGTTTTATATTGTTCTTAATATCATTCTTTATTCTAATTTTTAGCTTATTATACTGAATTTTTGTTGATTCCTCATTCCAGCCATTACGTTTATTAGCAAGCCATATATTGTTTTTAGTTCTTATTTTATGTTTCAATTCAGGAGTAATCCATTTGTTTCTGTTCCTTCTATTTTGATAATTAGTTCTTGGGATAAACAGATTAGTTGCATAATTGTAATGATACAAAAATAAATCATACATTTCATTTATAGATTTACTTTTAAATCCATTTTCCCAATCTACATTATTGAAATGGCAAGAAAATAGTTCATAATTTCCTTTTTGATATAATCTAATGGATTTCTTATGTTCGGTTGAAAACTTATAATCATTCATTAGATAACAACACTTTAACAAATGATGACCCTGTTTGACATTCCCTAAAGGAGCTGAGTGAGTTATAGAAACAATTTTGTTTTTATCGTTTGTGATAATAAGGTCTAGAATATTAGTTGATTTGTAGTTTGCTATTTGGAATGTTGGCTCACATACACATTGAAACAGAAAACAATCTTCAAGACATTCAATAAATTTATTAGTTTGAGATTCATTATCAGTTGCTGAAAAAGGACAATTATTATCAGACCAATCTATTGTATTATAGTTGAAGTCACCTGTAATAATAAGATCGCTGTATTCTTTTTGATAAATACTCATTTTAGCAGCATTAATAGATAGCAAAACATAGTTATTATACTCATGAGATATATCTGGTGGTCTATAAATGCATCCAATTAGCATTTTGTTATTTTTAAAACATATACAAGTCCATATTTGTTCTATAAAATTATTGTTTAACTGTAAATTATTTGTTTCAAACTGATTAATACATTGTTTTACATAAATACAAACACCTCCTCCATGAGTCTTTCTATCACTTCTAAAAATATTATAACTTATTATATTTACATCTGATTCTGCTTTAAACCAAGTTTCTGTAACACAAATAACATCCGGTTTATATATTTCACATTGTAACCTTAACTCATCAATTCTGTTACTAAATTTTTACTAAAATTTCTGTTACTAAATATTTCGATTTAATGATTAGCTTAATAGAGATCAAGTTTTCATAGTTTTTAATTTTATTTGAGTTTTTTTTCATTATTAAATAGCGCTTATATCTAATATAATTGTCTTTTAACAAACATTTTTACATAATTGCCATTCAAAAGTTAATGTGATTTTTTTTTAAATTCTTTTATCTTATCGCTTATCAAATTTAAAAGTTTTAAAAAGTTATATAAGTTTTTTATAATTTTTTATAAAAGTTATAAAAAATTATAAAAAGTAACTTAATGGAAATCGCTCTAAACATAAGTAAAATTGCTTTATGTGTACATAAATTGCCGTCAGCTTAGCGCTTTAAAACAAGGCCTGAGTTGAGTAAATTACCTACTTAAAATTCATTATTTTACAAACTCACAAACCAAACTTGCTGAAATTGCTTGACAGCCTAAAAATGTACAAAATAAAGATGAGGAATGTTTGACTCAACTTTCAGGTATTTCAATATTATTCAATAATTGATACCTAGTCGATATTTGATATCATAAATATAATAAAACAAATTTTTTAATTTTGTACTAATGTAAGTATTTAAATTTTTTTTTAAACATCTTTCCTTTCAACAAGGCAGCAAGCAACCACTGTTAGAGTTGGAAGTTACTGTAAAAAAAAAGTTTATAGAGCAAGATAATGATTGACAGATGAATTTAGAGATTGCAAACTACATTAATCTGGAAAACAAAATGAAGGATGCAAATTCCAAAGAACTGATGTTTGAGAAAAAAAACTAGACACAAAAGAGTTTTTGGAGCACTTTGAAATAGTTGCAGAAAAAAGATGAGGCTTAATTAAATGACGAGTCACACAAGAATAAATTTTAGTAGATGGCACAAGAGATGCTAGCTCTTTAGAGCAATGCCTGTTATAGTAATTGTAGAAAAGAGACAGAGAAGCAACATTACAATGATGCAATAATGGTTGGAGGTTGGCTGCAAGAGCAGGTCTAACTATGTTTACAATGCATTTTTGCATTGTAAAATAGTTAGACCACCTTGTCTAAAAGATAAAGGCGATCATTGGAAGATCCGCCCCAAATATGGCAACAGTATTCCAAAGAAGAATGGATTTGAAATTTATAGAGATAAATTAATAGAATCCGGAGTAAGAAAGTGTCAAGCACGATAAAAAGATACAACCTTAGCAGATGCTAAATTTGCAATGGATTTGATATATGGCTTCCATGAAAGATTGGAAGTAAGAGTTAATCTTAGAAGATGAAGGCTAGATGACTCATTGACTACATTAACTTTAATAAATATAAGAATATAATAAATATAGAAGATTTAATAAATTATAATAATGATTTGCTGAAAAAAATTGGGTTCTGAATTAAAGTTCACCAGCCACTGTGAGCCCCATGCTGTAGCAGAAGTGAGATTCTTTTCAAGCTCTGAGCAATCAGAGAGTGTAGGCTTCTTATCAAGGCAAGAATAAATTGGAAAGGAAAGATTCAATAATCTTAAATATGTTACCTGATACTCCGTAAGAAGAAAGCTTATGGAGAAGACCAGCATGCCAAACTTTATCAAAAGCTTTCGAAATGTCAAGAGTGAAAGCCTTAACTTCTTCAACTCTATCTAATGCACAATAAAACCTCTCGGTAATTACTGTTAGCAAATCAGCTGTAGAACGAGAAGATCAAAATCCATATTGATGATCAAAAAAAAGTTATTAGATTCAAGATAAGAGATTAAGTGTTTGTTAATTAAAGATTCCAAAACCTTGCTTATGATAAGAAGAGAACAAATTTGATGGTAGTTAAACAAGTCAGATCGCTCTCTTGAATTTTTGAAAATAGAGATAACAGATGCTGCTTTCCAGCATGTTAGAAAACAAGGCCCTGATAAGCACTTGTTAAAATTTACTTATATAGAAAATGTATACATACAGCATTACATAAAAAAAATGTTCGCTTTGCCATTTTTATTTTAATTGAATCTTTAATTTAAATTAATTCATTTTTTAAATGAATGTTAAAAAAAATATATTTTTATAAAAATTATACATAGCTTCTTTTTTTTTAAGCCACAAGAAAAAGTTGTAGTGTAAAAAGTTCAATGATTTATACAAATCTTTAGCTCATACTGGAAAAACCTTTGACATAATATTTGCAGGTGTCACCCAAACAAAATTTTTATTTTTTAAGATCGAAATTCTCTCTAACATTTTTCATAGTACTTGATGTTGTTAGAAAGCTTTGCGAAGAATTAATTGCATAATTTGAGTTACCAATTTTATGAACTACTAGCAGGGTAAATCCGTAATTTTTGTTAATATAGATTTTAATTGTAGTTGGCAAAATTAAAGCTAAATTATGCAGGAAACAATAATTTTCTTTTAAAATAGCAATTTTCTTTAAAGTGTTATTTCATTAATAAATTACCATTTCTATTTTTTTTTTTTTTTTTTAATGTTTAAAAATTATTAATTTGCAATAATTTTCAAAACTATGATAAAACTTTGTATATAATTTAGCAAATTTTTTTCAAAATTTTTTTAATCTTAAATTGGGAATTATAATTATATGAGCATTAGGAAATAGTGCTGTAATGGTACTCTGCAGGAATGGCTTACACCCTGATATATATATATATATATATATATATATATATATATATATATATATATATATATATATATATATATATATATTTGATATTTATATTTGATATATATATATATAATTTTTCAGTTAAACTATGTTTTGTATCATAGCATAAATACATTGTTGTCAACAACAGTTATTTTTCCGATTCAAGTGTCGTAACAATAATTTTCTCGAAATATTGTTAAAAAAAAACATTACATTTGTTCAATTTAAAAAAAAAAAAAAAATCACAAAAACATGATAATGAATAAACATTTATTTGCTTTTTTTCTTATTGCATAATTATGTACTAGTTATTAATATTTATTACAAATGTGCAAGATGGTGTTTACTATTTTTATTTATGCAAGTAGCGTGCAGCAAATGTTAAACCTATTTTCAAAAAAAGATGTAAGCTAAATGCATCGAACTACAGATGTGTGTCTATAATGTCAATATCATGCAAAGTATTTAAAGGATTTATAAGAAATGAAATGCAAAATTTTTTTGACAACTATAATCTGGTCACAAAATGCCAACATGGTTTTGTGAAACAGAAATCATGTGCCACAAATCTTTTAGAGACTCGATTTTATTACACACAATTTATTAAAAAATAAACCTGTGGATGTTATAACGCTGGATTTTGCATAGGCATTTGATGCTGTGCCACACAAGCAACATATGTTAAAATTGAACGCATATAGAATAAAAGAAAAATTTTTAAGTTGGATTGATGCTTTTTTGAATAATCAAATACAAAGAGTGGTTCAAGGTGATGCAGTGTCAACATGGAGAAACACACAAAAATTGAATAATCAAGTACAAAGAGTGGTGTTCCACAGGGATCCATTCTAGGACCATTTCTTTTTGTAGCATGTATCAATGACATACCAGAGAAAATCAAAAACATTGTAAAAATATATGTAGATGACACCAAAGTCTTATCAACAGTAAATTTAGTTAAGGATTTTAATTCAAAGAGACTTTAATATAGAAGAGTGGTCAGAAAAATGGTTAATCAAACTATACAAGAGTAAATGTGTGATTATGCATTACAGTAAAAACAACATAAAATTCAATTACACAGTGGATTAGAAATTAATAATTCAACAAATAAATGTGATTTGACAGATGAACTTGAACTTGGTAGAAATCTTGATACATCACTAATGGAAGAAGCACATAGTAACATGCTCATCAAAAGCAAATGCAATAATGGAGATGATGAAAAATACCTTTGTTCATTTAGATAAGGATCTTATCAATCAATTACACACAACTTTTGGCAGACTTCTGATTGAATTTGCAGCACAAGTTAGGTCACTAAACTACAAAGATGACATTATAATATTGGGACAGAATGACAAGGATGGCAAAGAACAACAATAAGAAGTCTGCAGTACCAATACTGTTTACATACACTAAATTTGACAACATTATCAGAAAGAAGACAAAGAGGAGATCTTATTCAAGTATTTAAAATTTTCAATAAAATCAAAAAAGAAGAACTTTTCAACAAACAAACTTTCTTAAAATGACACAGAGGTCACAATGACACAGAGGTCACAATGACACAGAGGTCACAAACAAAATTTCACAAAGCAAACTTTCTTAAAATGACACAGAGGTCACAATAAGAAATACAGTAGAGAACAAACCAACTTTATACAAAGACTAATTTTCTTATAAACAAAACTGCAAATTTATTGAACGCATTACCTTTGAAAGTCGTCAGTTCAACAAACATAAATAATTTCAAAAATAAATTAGACGTATATTTAGCAATAAAAATTAACTTAAAAACTATTTTTGTTTAAATTTTTCAGATTTTAATTGTTGTATATTATCAAAAACTGTCAAAGTGAGTTTTTAACTCACTGGTTGTTAATGCAGCTACAGTTTTAATTACTATTACTATGATAAGTAAAATAAGACTCAACCTAAAAAGCAAAGTCTAATAAAACAACAATAAGTTTTATTGATTAAAAGAAAATAATTGTATTGAGCATGGGCTTTATTTCGCCCATGTGAATTTATACATACATACATACATTTATACATACATACATACATACATACATACATACATACATACATACATACATACATACATACATACATACATACATACATACATACATACATACATACAAACATACATACATACATACATACATACATACATACATACATACATACATACATACATACATACATACATACATACATACATACAAACGTACATACATACATACATACATACATACATACATACATACATACATACATACATACATACATACATACATACATACATACATACATACATACATACATACATGCATACATACATGCATACAAACAGAAAATTCATGCTTCCCTTAATCATTTTCATATTATTTTTTTTAATATTAATTAATCATATTAAAAATAGTTATCTACAGACATTTAATAGATTGTTTATTCAAAAATTTTAAACAAGTTTGTATATAATATTTTGTTTAAGTCTTATTAATAATTATTTATAATATATATATTATCAAGCTACATAGTTAATAATTCTTTTTTTTAGACGATGGAAAACATGTTGAGTTCATTTCAGGTGAGACTTTTTGATTGATTTATTGATTTTTTGTTAAGAATTTTACAAACTTATGATGATTGATATTAGGTGGACTTACGCAGTATCAGCTTGGAGATTCAAACTTTACAAGAGCAATCACTATGCATGAATATTAAGTTAAAAAACAGACAGGTTTGATGCTTTTGATTAAATGTTTATAAAGTTTTTATAATCAAATTTGTTATTTTTAAATAAAAATAATTTTTCAAAGTTTATATTTTTGCTTATTTTGTAGGCCATAAAAGGTGAATTAAGTCAATTTATAGATGAAATGATTGTGCCTGAAACAATGATCTTGTAAGTTATATATTAAAATATATTTACATATTTTTGAATTTTAGTTGCTTAACTTTGTAATTCTAACTTTTAGTTCTGAAAATACTTAGTGGTTTACAGCTGATTCGCTTTTAATTTTTTATGTATAATATTTACATTACATTTATGACTACTAATTTGATAATAATAACTATGTGTGTGTGTATATATACAATTTGGATTCCACCCAACTGCAAATCTTCTCAATAGGATTTAAATTAGGTGGGAGAGCAGGCTTAGGGATTAGATTCAATTGTTTTTCGTCCATGTTTTGCTTGATTGAGCGTGCTGTGTAGCAAGGAGCATTATCTTGTTGAATTTGCTAAGTGAAGTCAGTTTCGAAAACATCTCTTAACGGGTGATATTATTCTTCTAATACCTCTCAATATCAATATTGATTGAGGTAATCAGTGTAAAGATGCACCAGGCCAGCACTAGATCCAGCAATGCCAGTTGAGCCTTCTCAAAGGCTTTAAGGAGGAGTAGGCTCCTTAAAGCCTTTGAGAAGCTGATAGATGAAATGAGGATTTTATTTATCGTTTTTGTATCTCCTCACTAAAATCCTTTTCTTGCGATTGATAAGTTTAAAGTTTGACTTGTTTGAGAAAATTTCTTTTCTCCATTGCTATACAGCCTATGCAATCCTTTCTTTACACCATTGTCTTTGCTTGAAATGGTCTTTGATGCTTAGTAGTGGCTTCTTTGTTGTAAGGTACAAATTGATTGTTTTTTATTCATCAGCTTGTTGATTGACTAACTTAATGTGCATATATTGTTGTATTCAGGTCTAAGGCAATTTCAGCTTTGCTCATTTTTATGTTGCGTCTAGTGAGCATAGTTGCTTTATTTTCGTTGCTTTCTGACATTTTTTTAAGGCTACAAGAGCGACTTTTGACTGTGCCAAACTCAGTTTTTGAGCATTATTCTATCCCTGCATTTGCTGATCTTTAGCTGACATCTGATTTCTTGATTGCTGAGACCACTTTTGTGCATGCCAGCAACTTACCACTTTTTTTACTTGATATGCTCTTTAAACCCATAATTTGGTTGTTGCAATTTTGAAATTTTAATCAACAAAGGTTAATTAAATATAATCAATCAAAAAGAGTTCAAAAAATTATTTTTAAAAGGAATTGAATAAGTTTGCTAATAATTTTAAAATAAGTGTGTTAATACTTTTGTGCAATTACTTTCACTTATTTTTCAAAGTAGTCATTAAACTTCTAATTAATTCATGGAGAAAAAAACAGGTTGATAAATATATGACATTATTTTATTTGGTATATATATATAATATACATATATATAATATATATATATATTTTTTGTAACATCTTTGCTTCCAACAAGGCTGCAAGCAACCACTATTCGAGTTGGAAGTTACTGGAAGAGAAGAGATAAAGTTTGTAGAGCAAGATCACAATTGATAGACAACTTAAAAAATTGCAAATTATATGAATCAGGAAAGCAAGATAAAGGAAGCAAATTCCAAAAAGTTGATGTTTGAGGAAAAAAACTAGATAAATAAGAATTTTTGGAGCACTTTGGAACAGTCACAGAAAAAGATTGAGACTTAATTGAGTCTCACAAGAGACGCTAGTTCTTTAGAGCAGCGCCAATTATAGTATCTGTAAAAAAGAGAAAGAGAAGCAACATAACAACAATGTGATAATAGTTGGAGGTTGGCTGCAAAAGCAAGTCCAACTATGTTTACAATTCGTTTTTGCACATTGTCTAAAAGAGAAAGGACATCATTAGAAGATATGCCACAGATATAGCAACAGTATTCCATACAAAAACAGATATGAGATTTATAGAGATAAAAAATAGAATCTGGTGTAAGAATGTGTCGAGCATGATAGAGATGCAATATAATATGTGTACATATAATATATATATATATATATATATATATATATATATATATATATATATATATATATATATATATATATATATACATACATACATACAAAGATATAAATAAAGTTTTTTTTGGCCATAATAAGTCTTTCATATCAAGATTATACCTAGCAAAACCTAAACTTTTTGTTGATGTATGTAAGGAAGCCCCAGCAGATTTGTAATTCTGCATGATTTCATCAATGATGTGTATATGCAAGGCTAATTATGAAAAGATATTTGTGTGTGTGTGTGTCTGTATATATATACACACACATATATATTACCTTAAATTGTTAAAATTCTGCAAAAAAAATTATATATATATACATAGTGAAATCTTATGTAAAATTTTTGTATGTAGTTGATTTAAAAAATACTGTTTGTTAATGAAAATATAGTTAAATAAAATTATTTTTTTAGCGCAATTATAGATAAACAAGTCACTGATCAATATTTTATTGAACAGCTTCACGAGCTTTCACATAAACTCAATGTTGTGAAAGAGCAGTCATATAAAGGTGCAATGGCTTGCAATGATGTTCAAGAAGTGTTAGACAAACTACGAATTAAGGCAGTTGCTAAAATAAGAGAATTTGTTTTACATAAAGTATATCAATGTCGAAAGCCAATGTCAAACTATCAAGTACTTCAAAACACACTACTCAAGTATAGGTAGCTAGAATTTTATTATTTGTTTATTTGTTTTCTCTGGGCTTAATTATATCATTTCAAACTTAATAGTAGACTATAAAATATACATTTTTTAAATATACTATTTTTTGGGGAGCTTGAGACCTGCACTTATGCCACTCTCAAGGGTGTGTTCTTGCATTTGTATTTATTAGTATGGTCTTTTTTATTGTTTTAAAAGAAATATTTTTTATGTAGATACTTCTTTGAGTTTCTGTTAGCTAACCATCGCCAAGTTGCTCGTGAAATTCGTGATGAATATGTTGATACCATGAGTAAAATTTATTCAGTTTACTTTGGCAGCTATATTGGTAAACTAATGAAGTTGCAGGTTAATTTTATTATCATAAAAAAATTGTTAAAAAGTTGTAAAGAGATTTGTTGCATTTTTATTATGACTGGCTCCAGTTTTTTTATCATGTCTCATATTTCACCTTTTTTGAGTCTTGACAAAATAATATAAATCTGTTCTGTGTTTTACAATAGAATCACTTAAAACAGTTTGTTAGTAATTAGTTATTGTCAAAATTAAATAGTTTTAAAAAGTAGTAAACTAAAAAATACTATTCAGCACTATTCTAAAAAGTAATATTCAGCACTATTTTAAAAAGTAACCAAAAAGTTATTTAGTGGTAATCTAAATAAGACACTTTCTTTAAAACATCTTCATAAGAAAAGTATTTTATTTAAATCTTTCTTAATTTTTCCTCAATAGGAAAAGAAGTTTGTACTGAATAAAAAAGTTCAGTATAAGATATGTGTTAATAAATCTCTCAAGTAAGAAAATAGATTAAAGTTACCAAATAAAAAAAGTAAAAGAAAGTTATTCTAAAGTCTATATTTTTTGTTAACTAAAACTTTTTAATTAAAATAAATCTTTAATTTAAAAACTAAAAAGTGTTACAGTACTCTAAAATATGTTGAGTATATGTAAAATAATGTCAGCAATTTGGTAATCTTACCAACGCAGTCATGGAGAATGTTTTATAAATAAAAATACAATCGCAAACAATTATTATTTTTTTTTTGTGTGTAGGTTTAATGGATATTATATTAAGTAAAAAAATATATATTTTTACGTATGTTGTCTGTTCAAACATAAAGTATACAAAAGTAATATTTAAAAATTTGTTTTTGTTTTGTTTTACAGACTAAAATAATGTTATTACTAATTTTAATTTATTTTTTATTAGCTTAATAATTGATTAAATTTTAAAATATAATGTAATTACTATTGGTATGCATTAATTTAAAACTTAATGTTTTTTTTCTATTATCTTATGTAAAGTTCGACGACGTTCCAGGAAAAGATGATTTAATAGGTTTAGAAGATTCATCAAAAGCTGGAATTTTTTCAAGCAAGACTACATTAAAAAATCGTTCCACAATTTTCAGTTTGGGAGGACGCGGACAAGTTTTAACTGATCTTCTAGAAGAACCTATTATTGTACCGCATACATCTCAAAAAACAGATAAAAGAGTAATGAAATGTTTCAATTTTATGCATGTTTTTTTATTGTTATGTTATTTAGTTACAAGTTTGTTTGTTTCTTCAAATTTAGTATTCCTATGAATGTCTTTTTCGAAGTCAGCATTTTGCACTGTTGGACAATGTTTGCAGAGAGTTTTTGTTTTTATGTGACTTTTTTTTGGTATCAGGCAATCAAGCAAACGAACTGTTTATATCTGTAATGGGTAAAGTTGTTACACTCTTCATGGCAAGTACTTTTTCTTCTAATGTAACTATTGAAGTATTTTTTTGTTCTTCATAATGTTTAATGATTTTTACTTAAACTAGATTTTTTTTAAAACTGCTTAGAAGCATATGGGCAGCTATATAGCCTCAAGTTTTGATGCTATTGGAATTTTTTTGTGTATCCAAATTGTTCATCGTTACAAAATGATAATGATAAAGCGTGATGTACCTGTATTAGAAAGGTAGCAACAGTTTTTATTCAATTTTAATTTGATTCAACAAAAGAGTTTTGTTAATCTGAGATATCTTCTTTTAACTACAGCTATTGGTCAACTTTGTTAGACATGTTATGGCCACGATTCATGAAGTTGGTTGAAATGAATGCACAGAGTGTTAAACAATTAGATTCTCAAAAACTTGGTCACATTGACATTCATCCTCATTATGTAATTATTTGAAAAGTTGTTATACTATTTTGTCTTTGTTTACATGTTTCTACCTATAAAACTTGAAGCCTTTTATTCTAGATCACAAGAAGATATGCAGAGTTTTCTAGCGCCATAAATAACCTTAACGAAAACTTCCATGATGATCGAGTAACTTTTAAAAAAACTTTCATTGCTTATATTTTGATTTCTTTTATAAAAATATTGCAACACATTCTGAAAAATAATTGTTGAGAAGTTTAATTTTAAAAGATGTATTGCCTTCTTATTAAGGTTGGAAAATGTCTTGGACAAATGCAACTCGAAGTAGAAAATTTTATACTTCGAAGAGCATCTGAGTTTGTTAAGCGAAAGCATCATCTTGTATTCTTGATAAATAATTATGATACTATGCTTCAAGTTATTGCGGTATTTTAATTCAAATTTATATAATTTTTTTGCTATAGTTTATGAAAAATATGTTAATCTATTTTTATAAATAAATTTAATGACTGGTTCTAACTAACTCTACTACTGAATTTAATCAGGTGGCAAGACATGTCTTTATTGCATAAAAATGTTAGAATAATATTAGAAAAATATTAGAAACTAGCCTAAAAAACTTTAAATAAAGTTCTTTTTTATTTTATCGATAGTTAAAAGTTGTATGACATAACACTTTTGCAAAATAGTTTTTAATCACAGTAGTTTAATGTTATAATGTTTTGTAATATTTGGAAAAGTATCCAAATGATTTTCAAATAATTTTTTGCACAAATGTCTTGTAACTTTAACATATTTTGAAATGCATTAAATGTTTTATATAGTTATAACTTCTATATAATTATTTTTTATAGTTATTACACATTTCTGCAGTTTATTTATTTATTTTTTGTTTTTTTTGTTTTTTTGAAATGATGTTTATCAATATTTAGTTTTATTTTTTAAATTTTTAGGTAAATTTTTTTTTTGGTAACTTTTTTTCTATAATTTTTATATAAAATAAAGACATTTTTTCGTGCAATCTATAATTTTGATGCCATTAATATATTATAAAAAAATTAGCTGGGTTATCAAATGGATAATTTACTTAATAGATTAGATTACTTGTATTATTAAAATTTTAAATGAATTTTTTTTCAAATAATTGTTAAATGTTTATAACCATAATAATCTTATAGCATAAATTTTATTTTTTTTCCAAATTGCTTTAAAATTTAGGAAAAAACAAATGATGAAGCAAAACAAACATTCCATGAAACACTTAATACTAAAATAAGAGAATATGTTGAAGAGGTAAACAGCTTTTTTTATATATGTAGATATTATACCACTGTACATAAATATAGAAATTATAAACCAACATATATAAATGTAGAAGGTATTGCCATGTATAAGTGTAGATATTATAGACCGTCGCATAAATAGGAAAGTCATGTAAATGTACACTTAAGCAAAAAAAGTTTGATGTTTTCAATAAAATTTTGAATTTTCCAAAAAAATGCATTTAGAAAACTTCTTTGAAATTCAAGGATTTCATCATCAAATAAATTTAGGAAAAAATAAATAATGTATTAAAGTATAAAACAAAAGTATCACTTTTGTTTGTGTTTTTTTCCTAACTGTATTTTTAGAAATTCAAAAATGCAAATCAGAAAATTTAACAAAAGAAACTAGGTTTAGCTCTTGGTATTGGAAACATAAGGTCAACAAATTATTGACAACCTTAGGTTGGCATCAGGTCAGCAGAAAAATGTAAAACAAAGGTTTGACCGTAAAACATAGAAACAAGGTCGGCAATTTTTGCCAACCTCAAACACTTTTAGGTTGGCATTGAACTGAATGCTAACTCTAAATCTGAGGGTTGTAGGTTTAATAACCAGTTTAGTTATTTTCAATTGTTTTATTAAAATTTTGGAACAATCTGCATTAGCATTATTGTTTAAAAAGATGAAATTAGAAAGTTAGAAATGCATGTGCTTTTAAAGTATTATATACAGTGTAGCTGATATTGTTATAATTTTTTTAAAGTAAATGTGTTATCAACTCTTTAAGGTATTATCATCATACTTCATTGGTATGATGCGTTTTGTAAACGAAACAGAACCCTTAATAGAGAAAGGGCAATCAAGCCAAATCAAGGTTAATGAAGGTAAACTTTTTGTTACTTTTATCAGTTGAATTGTAAATAAATAAACAATAAATTTCTCTATTTTGAATTGCTTTCAATGTTGAATGTTGAAAGTTACTGTAAACTTGTTTTTGTTTTATGTTTCTAAATACATTCTTTAGGTTTAATTGAACAGATAATTCGTGATTTTTCTTTACATTGGAAGAGTGCAATAGAAAATTTAAATCAAGATATAATGAGATCATTCTCTAATTTTAAAAATGGAAATAACATTCTTCAGGTATTTTAATTTCATTTTAATATTTTATTTGCAAATTTATAAAAGGTCACTACTTATTTTTACTCTAAATTAAAAAAATTGTCACTAATATGATGATGTCATAAAAAATTATCATATTAAAAGTGTTGAGAACTGTGTTCAAGATCAAGTTTGAAGCTTTATAAAAAAATTACATTGAAATTAAAATATAATTAAAAAAAAAAGTTTTTGAAACATAAATTATGTTTTTGTTTTTTGAATTGTAATAGTAAAATTTTAAAACATTAAAAAAATGTTATTAAAACATCAACGATAATTATTTTTTTCCAAAATAAAATAAAATTATAACATAGCTACTTTATTTGAAAAATTTTGATCCAAAAGAAGTTATTTTTTTTTTTATGCTAATATTTATTTACTTGTACTTTGCAATAAGTTATATATAAGTTTTTTATTATCATCTATATAACTTATAAGAATGATAAGGCAGCTATTGGCATACAGGCATTTTTAATAAAGTTAACCTTAGTTATTGCCAACATAAAGGTTTTATTCTGACTGGCTACTTATTTATTTAGAAAAAAAATTCAAGCTGCAAAATTATATTCTATGTTTGTATAATTTAAAAAAAAAAAAAAATTTTTTTTTTTTCAGGCTACGTTAACCCAACTTATTCAATACTACCATCGGTTTCAGAAGATTTTATCTAATCCTCCGTTCAATAGACTTTCATCTCGTAGCGATTTGATTAATATTCATCATGTTATGGTTGAAGTTAAAAAACACAAAACAACTTTTTAGAATTGTGTGTTATCAGAGAATTGTATACTACCAGATATTCTCTTGTATTTCTATTTTTATATTAGAAACAAGGAAATATTTTCTTTAGCTGTCTTTTTTTTTAATTTAGCGTATCAGTTGTTTATGTTTAATGTTGTGAATCTTTTTTATTTCATTTTTATTTTCCTCTTTTAATGTTTTAAAATACTGTTAAAGTATTAATATTTTGGATTTTTAACATAAAACTTACTTAACGTTAGTTTAAAGAGATTTTTTCCAAAATCAAACTTGTTTTATTCTATAGTATATCATTTATTTTGTTTTATTTATTTTTATTTTGTTAAATTTTGTTGACAAATTTTTATTAAAGTAGTTATAAATTAAAAAATTACAGTGTTGTTTTGCACTGTGGCAGTGTGTACGTAAAATCTTTGATATTTTCTTTTTTTAATCAAAACTGCACATACACACATGCGTTATAGTTGCTATAAATTGTTATTGTAATTTGTATTATTTAAATTGTAAATTTTTTGTATATATAAATAATAAAAAACTTTAATTTTCCATGATTACCTGTTTTTGATGTTTTTTCTATTCTAAATATCAATTGTTTGTATTATTTTTTTATCTAATATTTAAAAATTTATATTTAATTAACAAAATGATCAAACGAAAATTATTTAATTTTTTTGTATGATTTTAGAGATTTTCTGTCCAACAAGGATGAGTTTCTATGAACACTAGGGTTTTAAGTGCAATTTTTTTAATCTAGAATCTGTTTAGGAGCTTATGAAAACTCAGGAGCCTGAATTTTTTTTTTTTTTAAGTTAGATAATGTATTATTTAAACCGGGAGTTTATATAATTCAAGTTTAAAAATAATTTGAATTAATTTTTATCACTTCAATTATTTCTTAACATCAAGTTTTGTAACATTTTTTAGAACTTCAGTTGACATTTTTAGAACTCCAATCAGACAGAGGCTATAGAGTCTAGGTAAAAATAGGAACATTTTGAATCTTTTTTCCTTGTTATGTTCTATCAAAAGTTAATGCGTTCTTAAGTTTTTTATATTGACTGTAACATATGTCAGCTTAATAATTAAATTGAAGTTAATTAAATAAGCTTCCTTTATTTGTATAATGTCAACTGTAAAGTGATTGCATTATAATTGACATTCAATTTCCAGCATCACATATTGAATAATTAAAGTTTTTCAGAAAAAGAAAACATGGCATATAACTATGTTGTTACAGCACAAGAGGCAACTGCGATCAATGCTACAGTAACTGGTCACTTTACAGGACCAACAGACTTAAATTTGATAGTTGCTAAAAATAATAAATTAGAGTTACATATGGTAACTCCTGAGGGTCTGCAACCTAAATTTGATTTAAATGTGTATGGGAGAGTAGCAGTTATGCAATTATTTAGACCTCAAGTGAGTTGTTTTAAATTCAATATATATTTATATTTTATACTTAACACATAAACATACACATAAATAAGTATATAAATATATATATATATATATATATATATATATATATATATATATATATATATATATATATATATATATATATATATATATATAAGTATATACAAAAATAAATTCATATATTTATATGAATTTAAAGTTAGTTAAATTTATCTGATCATCTGATTCATTTTAAATTGTTTTTCGTATTCAGAATGAAAACCAAGATTTGCTTTTTATATTAACTGAGCGGTATCGAACTGCTATATTAGCTTATAAAGCAGAAACTGGTGATATTATAACAAAAGCTTATGGTGATGTGCAGGTAAAAACCTAAACTTTTAAAAAAGATTTTTTAATGAATATTTTGTTTTAATCATTCACAGCTGTTATGTCTTTTGAATTCATAATTCTTATATACATCTCATACCTCTGGCATAAAGATTAATAAATTAAACACAGTTTTGTAATTTTTTTGACGCAGCTTTGTGATTTTCTAGATTTTAATTTTTTATTTTTTTTTGACTTCAAATAAAAACTTACATAAATTGGACTTTTATTAAATGCAAAGTTTTTATAAATAGTGTCAAAAAATTAAAAAAAAACAACAATAATAGATTAAAAAAGACTTAAAAGTTTGAATAAAAAGAAATATCAATGAACTAGAGTTTTTTATATAATGATACCATAATGTCACTATGTATGTAATAATGACACTTTGATATTATGTCACTTAATGTTATAATGCCACTTTATAGGTCATAATGTCACTTTATATGTCATAATGTCACCATAATGATACCTTAATGTCTAATGATATCATAATATCACCATAGTGATACCTTAATGCCAAATTAGGATCTTAATGTCAATGAAATATCCTATGAAAACTTTTTTAACTACTATACTATTATCTATACATACAATTGTCAAAAGTATTTTTTGAGGTACTGTACATACCAGTGTTCAAAGCATTTTTTGGGGAACTATATATACCACTCTAAACCATTTTTTCTATAAATGTATTTTATTAGTAACTTAAGGCTTTTAGAAGAATGAGATTTTTTCAAGAAACACTGGTTATGATCAACTAATATTGGAAAATTATTATTTCTTTTTATTGGAAAATTATTTTTTCTTGATAGTTTGTGTAATACAAATGTACAATGTAATGCATATTTTCTACAATCACATGTTTTTAAACTATTTTCTTTTCAAATGTAAACATAAAAGTTTTACACAAATTTCTAGGGGTTTTTAAAAGGCTTCAAAAATACTATTAATTTTGAGTTGATAGAAAAGTTCTTTATAAGTTTTAAAATACAAAAATATCAACAATATTTTTTTGGTTTAAAATTTTTAAATGACTAACTATTAGCTAAATGAAAATGTTTTTTTATCACGATTGTTTGACAAATTATTGGTTATCATGACTGATTGACAAATGACTGGTTATCATAACTGATTGACAAATTATTGGTTATCATGACTGATTGACAAATTATTGGTTATCATGACTGATTGACAAATTATTGGTTATCATGACTGATTGAAAAATTGTTGGTTATTATGACTGGTTGACAAATTATTGGTTATCATGACTGATTGACAAATTATTGGTTATCATGACTGATTGACAAGTGACTGATTATCATAACTGATTGACAAATGATTGATTATCATGACTTATTGACAAATGATTGATTGTCATGACTGACTAAAAAATAACTAATATCATTACTAATTGACAAATGATTGATTGTCATGACTGACTGAAAAATAACTAATATCATTACTAATTGACAAATGAATGATTAGCAATCTAATCCATTCGATTGCCTGCTGAGCTATTACAAAGAAAACATTCAGATATTTGATTAAGTATTCAAATAAAAATTTAAAATCAAAATTTTAAGTTTAGCGTTTAAAGAAATGTAAACTTTCACTGCACCATAAGAAGATACTTTTCTGCATGAGTGCAGAAAATTAGGAAACTGAAAGAAAAAAAATCATGTGTTAAAGCTTTACAACTTTAGCAAATCATCTTAATTTGTTTTTTTTTAATTTGCGATTAATTAATTTGTAAATTTGGCAAAATTAAAGAAAAAGCATCTTCTCAACTTAGCTGAAGGCTTCAAAAATGTGTTTGAAGTCTTCATTTTCATATGAAAGTTCTGAAAAGTTGTGTACAAAAGTTGTGTAACATTTGTTGGTCAGAAATTTAGAGAGAATTTCAGAAAAAGATCCAGTTAGAGCTGAACAAGTTGTTGCAGTAATTGTGGCCCACAAAGATGTAATGGAGCCTCAGTCAACAAAAAAGCAAATTAGAAGAGGTGTAATAATTTTCTAAATAAATAATATTTAGTATTAATAATTAGTATTTTTAAATAATTAATAAGTGAGAGGTGTTATATTTAGTATTTATAAATAATTCTAAATATAAAAACATGTTTTTTAAGTTTTGTAACTTTGTAAGTGAAAAAATGTTATATATTTTGTCACATACTAAAACTTGCTACAAATTCAATGGAACTCTAGGCTAAACATAAATGACTCATGAATTAAATTAGCTGAATAATTTAGTAGAAGCCAATTTTTTGGCAAATGGTAGGATAAAACTCCTCAATCATTTTGCTTTCATTTTCATAGATATAACAAGGTAATAATAAAAAATGTCAAAAATTGTTAGTAATCATAGCGATATCCTTAAAACAACATTTCTGCAATCTTAAAGCTGGGAATTAACTATTCTGTAATCTTAAAGCTGGGAATTGATGGATTTATTTTTGAAATTAAGTTTTACAATTATCTTGCTTGAAGAGAGAGAAAATTTTTTAAGCAGTCTTTGTGTAGGAAAAAAACTTGTATTGTACTTGATGTATCCTTTAATTAGTTCAGCAAATCCTGGTTGCACTTTTCTAGTACACATCAGAAACTTAACAAAATTATAAAAAAAAATTTGGTTCAATAAATGTTTGCTTTAAAGCTTGCTGACATCATCTGTAAAATTCAAATCCCTAGGAACAAATACATATGCTTTTGGTATGAAGTTTTCTAGTAAGTAAACTTTGAGAAAACTCAAAGTTTACTTATTATGGTCAATCGTGAACCTTTGGTTATGTAAAGGAAGCATTATTTGAGGCAGTGACATACATAAATCAAGAGAGTTAAAAAATATAACTAACTTGCCACTGTTTTAGTTTCCAAATCAAATATGTGTGCTTCCACTTTTGATGTTATTTAGTATCTCTATTGTTTCACCTTCGATATTATTCCACCTTTGATATTATTTAGTATTTCAATTGATATAGTATTTCAATTAATATATGTACTGAAGCACCAACAAATATTTATTTTAGTATAACATCATCAATAGCATTTCATATAAAGTATTAATTATATATATATATATATATATATATATATATATATATATATATATATATATATATATATATATATATATATATATATATATATATATATCAATATATCAACTTGTTTCTCAGCTACGCAGAAAAGCATCTTGATATATATATCAACTGCAGATTTATATATCCGCAGCAGATATGTATCAATTTGTTTCTCCACACAGCAGCCTCATCAAGGTTCATGTTTTGGAGTTAGAGTTGAGAGGTAATTGTGACCACAATTAAAGTAGCCTCCTCAACTGTAGTGGAGAAGGCTACTTGGCGAGATGAATTGACATTGAATTATATATATATATATATATATATATATATATATATATATATATATATATATATATATATATATATATATATATATATATATATATATAATTCTTCATAATAACTAGATAATAACTGCCTAAACTCTTACTTGATATGTGTATTGAATCCCCACATCTACCTAATGCAGTATAGTATCATCAATAATGTTTTATGCAATGCATTTTAAGTACACAAAGATATATATATATATATATATATATATATATATATATATATATATATATATATATATATATATATATATATATATATATATATATATATACTATGAAGTATCTAAATTTTTTTAAATTTGTCATATTATAATTATATTATACCTTAGGATAAAATCGGCCGGCCAAGTGACACCGGAATGATAGGTATAATTGACCCACAGTGTCGAATGATAGCTTTACATATATATGATGGATTGTTAAAAGTTATTCCTTTGGATCTTGGTTCAAACATGGAATTAAAAGCATTCAATATTAGGTACTCAAATTTATTAAAACTTTTTTCAAAATGTATTTTGAAGTGCTTACAAATGCTGCATAAGGTGTTTTTATTTAAAACTTTTATATTTTGTCCGTTGAATTATGCTTAGTTGTTGATGTTTTAGCTGAAATTTATATTTTAATTCCTGAATAGAAATTAATTCGCTATTTTGCATTCAGAAAGTTTTATAAAACAAGTGCATGCACTTGTTTTAAAAAAAGTATATACTTGCATTTTAATACCTATGTGTCATAAAATAAGCAATTGAATTGCTTTCAATTTTTTATTTTTTACAAGAAAATATGATTATATTTTTAATTTCAGTTTTATTGTAACAACGGAAAATACTTTTGTTGATTATATTTTTTACTTAGAGTATTTGTTATAGTAATATTTTTATATTTGTCTTAAAGTTTTGTTTTTTACATTAGATTGGAAGAACTTCATGTTGTTGATATTCAATTTTTATATGGTTCGTTTACACATCCTACTATAATTTTAGTGTATCAGGTAATTTCATTTTTTCAGTTTGATCAATTACTTTGAATATTTTGAATTGATGCATTTCTCCAGTTTTAAAATAATATATTTAAAAAAAATCTAAAGTATTTAAAAAGTTTGTCATCTTTTCTCTTAGTTTGGATTAGTTTTATATATTATTTAAAAAATTATTATTTTTTTATTATTGACTCTACTTTAATAGGATACACACGGAAGGCATGTTAAAACCTATGGTATTTCACTGGCTGATAAAGAGTTTAAACGGGGACCATGGAAGCAAGACAATGTTGAGCTAGAGGCTTGTATGCTAATCACAGGTATATATATATATTTCTGTAATAGAGGTTTAAAATTTAAATACTTTTTTCTTTAACATATATATATATATATATATATATATATATATATATATATATATATATATATATATATATATATATATATATATATATATATATATATATATATATATATATACATATATATATATATATATTATTTTTGATATTTAATCTTTATTAAATAAAAATTATATTTTGTTTAGTACCTAAACCCATTGAAGGAGCCTTAATTGTTGGACATGAGTCCATTACATATCATAAAGGAGAGACTTATCTAGCGGTGGCACCTCCCGCTATGAAAGTAATTATTTAATGTGAATGGTTGAATTTTTAAAATTATTCTTGCTTGTTAATCTTGTTTTTTATTTTTCTAATTTTTAATTTGTTAATATTGTATATTTTTTTAAGTAATAATAGTAATAAAACTATTTGATTTTCAGCAAAGCTCATTAAGTTGTTATGGCCGAGTTGATAAAGAAGGTTTAAGATACTTACTTGGTGATACATCTGGTCGCATTTTCATGCTATTTTTGGATTATCAAACAAAAGCTTCAGAAGTGAAAGATCTTAAATTAGAGCTTCTTGGGGAGGTATTTCAATATTTATAAAGTTTTTATTTTCTGGTCTCTAATCTTTTTCAAACAAAACTTTTAATTTTAAAAATTTAGAAATAAAAAATGTTTCTTTTTTCTTCAAAATGTTTTAATTTAAGTTCGTCTTGTATAACTGAAAAATTTGAAATAATATTAATTTCAAGCAGGCTTTATTGAAACCCATCAAAAATCACATATCACATTGGTAAATGCTTAATTTGGTATTTTAGTCAATGCTTCTAATTTATCTTTTAAATTTGCATAATTATATATATATATATATATATATATATATATATATATATATATATATATATATATATATACATATATATATATATATATATATACATATATATATGTGTATATATATATATATATATATATATATATATTATATATATATATATATATATATATATATTAATTTGTACATTGTTTACTGTTTAATACAAAATTGAATAAGATGTAAAACCTTTTTCTTTATTATTTAATATTAGTGACTCTCAAAAAAATAGCTTGGTATTTGATCATTTGTTGATATACAGAAGTGTGCAAAAATTTTGAAACAGCAACTTTTTTTCAGTTTTTAACTCAACTTTTCACAAGCCTTCTCAATTATGCTAAAATTTTTACCAAATCTGCTCTATAATTTTCATTTCAAAATACAGACTACAAAAATTGTAAAATTTAACCATTAATTAAAGTTTACTTGATTTTTGAAAAGACTTTCCCGCTAAAGTATAAAAACATATCATATCCTGTAATTAAATAAATTTTTTGTAAACAAAAGCAAGATAAAAGGCCAAAAACATTTTTAAAATTTGATTGTTAGAATATTGGTATAATATTCCTCAGGATGTTCCTCACTCATTTATTAGGTTTAATTACTCCTTACTGTGATGCGGTTTTAAAAGCAAATGGTTATTTTTAAAGGCAAATGATCAGGTCACTAAAAACTTGATGAAGCTATTTTATTGAAAAATTGTAATTTTGTGAAATTTTGTAAAAATTTCAGCTTTTTTGAAATAAATATTAATCAAAATTCAGTTGTTTCTCTTTTGTACAAAAGCTTTTTCAAAAAATAAAAAACTAAATTTTAACTAATTGTTGTTTTAAAGATCTACATGACTGGTCATAAATTAGAGCTCAATTATTTATAATTTTTTTAATGAAACAATTCAAAATAAATTTCATAGAAAACAGAGTTTATTTTTTTTATTGATTCAAGTAAAATATATACAAAATAGAATTAAATTTTGATATTAAAAAATGAAATATAATGAAACTATGTTATTTTAAGTTGGAAAAAAAAAGGTTAAATGTTAATGATTTACCTCAAATAATGAATAAAAATAATGATTAACAAAAGAAAAACAGTTTAAAAAACATTTTGTTATTTTGATCAGCCACTTTTTAGTATATACAGGGGTGTACTCTCCAGTTTTTTCCCAGTTACTCTAGGGCAACTGAAATAGTTTTTATTTCTCATTTAAGTCCTCCGCTATGATAATCAGTAGTTAGGTATAATAGTTTTTTTTGATATTTTTTCTCAGTGAAAATAATGAAAAAAAAAAGATTTAAATGCCTGACTACTAAAATATGTCTAATAAGGTTTAATTAAAAGTAAATTAATAAAAAAAAGTGAAATGTTATAACCTGTTATAACACTTTTGTAAGTAACAAAATGTCTGGTCATCCTGCCGGGCTACTGACAGAATTTTTTTTTTTTTTTTTAATTTCAGTTGCCCTTGGGGAAAACAAGTCATCCTGTGCCACCAGACAACCATGAGGGTAACACCCCTGATATAATAAAAATATTTAATTAAAACATTCAGTTATTCTATACCTCCATCTTCTAATAAATTGTATGTTTTTTTAAACTTTAGTCACCTTTGCTTTTTGTAGCTGTTTTCCTTTTTCTATTTTTTTCCCATTCTAAACTTTTTTATTTTGTTGAAATGTTTGTCATTTTGATAAAACTTTGTTTTAGACATCAATTCCACATTGTTTAACTTATCTTGATAATGGTGTTGTTTTCATTGGTTCATGTCTTGGAGACTCACAAATAGTCAAGGTAATAATGCAATGCAAAATTAACAATAGTTGTTTATACATAATGTTTACAATTAAAATTTTTAAAAAAGATACTGTTTTATTTATCGCTAACTTAAGAATAATAAATAAATAAAATAAATAAATAGTCGAATCCCAACTGCTTGACAGCAATTGAAATTTGTCAATTGCAGTGTCAGTGTTAGCTTAGATCCCTGCAAAATATTTTTACACATTTATTTGTTGTATATATGTATACACCTATAATAGTTGTATTACCTATATAGTTAGTTTGATTTTGTTTGGGTTTAAATTTTTGATTAAGTTACAAGATGTTCTTACCTGTACCACACTAAAATGAAAGTTTATCATAACTGGCTTCCTTTTGATAACTAGCAGATATCTGAACAATTAATTTGGTTTTTTTAAATTTTCAAGTATAAAAAAATATTTTGTGTATATGTGGAGGTCAACTGAAAGATTGAGAATTTTATTTTTATTAATAAAGTAATTAAAATTCTTTTTTGGCTTCCAGAAAATCTGATGTTTTGAAATAACTATAAATAAATGTTTTGAAATAACTATAAATAAATGTTGGCAACATTTTAATCTTTAAAATGATTTTATTTACCAAAATTTAAACTTTTAGTGTGAAATTGATGTAATGTTTTTTTTATTTTTATTGTATTTCTATTGTTAATAAACAAACTTCTTGAGTGAAAACTTGAGTAAAGATTCAAAAAAAAAACAGGAAATAAAATTATTGGAAAAAAATTAATTTTTAAAGAACTAGAAAACGTTTTTTCAAAATAAGCAAAAACAACTTAATAACACCAATAAATATAAATATACTTTGCACCTTATATTTTGTTAACAGTAAAATTATTTTTTATATGATATCAAATCTGAGTAAAAAATTATATATAAAAAAGTCAATATAAAATATTTAATAGTATAATCATTCAATTTTTTTTTATTTGTTTTTTTTTTTATTTACTTGTTATTTCTTGCTTATATTGTTTTATATTTACTTTTTTTTTTTTTTTTATAAACTAAGAAATATGATTAAGAATTAATTAAATTAAAAATATAATTTATTTCAATTTTAGTGATTTTAGTTTTAACTTTAATTTTGATTTAATGTTTGCAATAATAGCGTTTTCACTATTTTATTTTTATAGCATACTAAATTTTATTTTTGCTAAATTACATATTTTAAAGTAATTGAGAAAATAACATTTAAATACATTTTTTTTAAATATAGAAAAGCATATTTTTAAATCAGTTTTTGTATACTTATTCACTCCCAACAAGGCTGTAAGCAACTACTACTGAAGTTGGAAGTTGACACAAAGCGAAATAGATAATTAAACAGCAAATTCAGCTGACAAAAGACTTAAAAAGCTGTATAAATCAAGAAAGCATGAATTTGGGAGTTCTAAAAAATAGATGTTTGAGGTTTAAACTAGATGAATAAAAATTTTTTTGAGCATGAGTTGCAGTAAACGATGCAAATTTGTTGAATGACAAGTTGACTTTTCTGAATAAGTCATTAAGTTTTAGTTGATGGAACAACAGATGTGATCTTGCTTAAGCAGTGGCTCTGGTAGTACTCTATAAGGCAATGCAAATAAGCATACAACCTTGCAACAGAGGCTTAAGCTTAGTATCTAAAGAACATCCAACTACATTTACAATTCTTTTTTTTTTTTTTTTTTTTTTTTCTCTCAGAAAACCTTGTCTAAAAAAGAACAACTATCATTAAAAAAACCAGTCCAAATATGACAGCAGTATTCCATACAAGGACAAAAAAGATATCTTTAATCAACTAAAGTTTTCAAAGTTATTTGTTTTGTGTTACTTTTTTTTAGAAAAGTAATTTTCAGAAGTACCTCTGTGCTTCTCTCATTGCATTCAGATTAACCAATAAAAATATAGTTTAACAAATTTGTAAGAGTATAAATTAGGTTTCAACCAACATTTTAAAATTCCTTTACGCTGTAGGTTAAAAGTAATTTTTAAATGTTTTTTACAAATTAAGAACTTTTAATTTTTTTCAAGTATTGGTATATTTTTTTCTTTTTTTAAATTGTTGAAATCATTTTTATAAACAATAATTTCTTTTAAACCAAAATTTACAAAACCTATCAATAGTTAACATTGTAATTTACTTTTAGTTAAACACAGAGCCAGATAAAAAAGGCTCATTTATTACTATACTGCGTTCATTTACAAACCTTGGACCTATTCTTGATATGTGTGTTGTAGATCTTGAAAGACAGGGGCAAGATCAAGTAAATAATTTTATTTTTATTTTCATATTAACAGTTTTTAGTGTTTTAAATTTTTTTTACTTAAAATTGTTGTAATTTTTTTAGCTTGTGACTTGCTCAGGTGCATTTAAAGATGGCAGTCTTAGAATTATAAGAAATGGCATTGGGATTAATGAGCTAGCTTCAATTGACCTTGCTGGAATAATGGGTTTTTATTTATTTTAATTTTTTTGAAACAAAACTTCTTGATAATTAACTGTTAGTTTAAAGTTTTCATAAAATTAATAGAATTTTACTATTAGGGTTATGGTGCCTAAAGGTAAACTCAATTAATTCAGATCTTCATGATACAATGGTTCTGTCATTTGTTGGGCAATCAAGGTAATTTTTTTTGATTTTTATAACAAAAAGCTATTTTGTGTTTGGTTACTGAAGTATTTTATCCTTTTTAATTTTGGGTCAAGTTTGTAATTTTTTTTTGTATCAATCCAATTTCATTTTAAAAGTCATTTTATTTTTAATACTAAAAAAAATTTTTTTAGTATTAAAAATAAAATTTATTTGGGTTTTTTATTTTCTTTGAATTCTAATAGAGTTCTTTCATTGAGTACGGAGGAAGTTGAAGAAATAGAAATAGAGGGATTTAGTAGTGACAAACAAACGACATATTGTGCAAATGTAAACTTTAATCAGTTGATTCAGGTATTGTAAACTTATACTAGTATTTTTATTTATATATTTGTAAATTTATTACATATTTTTTATACACGTTATATATTTGTTATATATTGATCTAGTAATATGTTTCAGAAAATTCAGGTCATGTCAAAACTTGGATTATTATGATGACCCTCGTACATCTAGTCTAGTTCAAAAGTACGCTAAAAAACTTCTTCTTCTACATCAGATTTACTCCATCATTTCATTACACTTACACTTACACTTTGTTTCTTTATCATTCTCTTATATCAGTTCTTTACTCTATCATTTCAGTTTATTACTCTATCATTTCAGTTTTTTACTCTATCATTTCAGTTCTTTACTCTATCATTTCATTTTTTTATTCTATCGTTTCAGTTTTTTACTCTATCATTTCAGTTCTTTACTCTATCATTTCATTTTTTTACTCTATCGTTTCAGTTTTTTACTCTATCATTTCAGTTTTTTATTCAATCATTTCAGTTCTTTACTCTATCATTTCAGTTTTTTATTTTATCATTTCAGTTCTTGATACTACTTTAAGGCTTATTCTTTTATTGATTTTCTTATTAATGACTGAAATCTCTGCTGAAATTTTTTTTTTTTTATTTCCTGAATTCAGCCAGGCATGAAAGTTTTAGTTCTTTTTCAAAGGTTTCAAGTCTCTCTCTAGCCCATTCTCCTGCTTGTGCAGCTTCCTCTCTCATAAACCTCTCTCTAGCCCATGGTTTTCTTCTGCTTGTGCAGCTGTTATTTGCAATCTTTTTTTTATTTTTTTCCCAAAACATACCTTGAGAACTATTGAAATTTTATCATTAGAAAAAAAACATTGTTAAAAAAGTGTCTTGCATTATCCATTATTCTTAGATTAGTAAATATCATATTTTATTTTAGAAAGTAGGTTATAGAGATATTTAGAAAATTTGTAACAATGCCATTAATAAAAGCAAATACTCTCTCAAATACATGGATCTGATCTTTTTACTTCTTCAAAGGATAGACAAACTCTCTCTGAACTATCTAATTTTGATAATTACTTTTTGATTGTTGAAATTTCTGAGTTACTAATATATAGTTTTTTTATATTCGTATATAGTTTAATATATATAGTTTATAATATATAGTTTTTTTATATTCTGAGTTTTTTTATATTCGGTCCTGCCTTGTTTCTCATCTATATTAATGATCTTCTTGTAGCTCCTTAACTAGAAATTTATTTACTGATAAGACAACACAAAAAATTATTAATTTAATAAATGTATTTCCTAAACTGAATAAATGTTATAAATCTACTTATTTACCTATATTATATATAACCTATATTATAAATCTACTTACTTATACTTCAATACCTAGTAAAACCACATAACAAACAATCAAAGAGAGTAAAACTAATTATTATTGTCACAATATTCAAAATAGTTATTTTTGAGAACTTTCACAAAATATTTTTTTATTATTTTAGAATTTGCACTAAAGTTTTAAGAATTTTCACAAAATACCTCGAAAAATTCTTGTTTTGCAGAGAAAATCAAAACCAGTTGTTAACTTTTGCTACTAACTTATATCGCCACAAAAAACTTATATTGCCACAAAAAACTTATATCGCCACAAAAAACTTATATTGCCACAAAAAACTTATATCACCACAAAAATCTTATATCACCACAAAAAACTTATATCACCACAAAAAACTTATATTGCCACAAAAAACTTCTATCACCACAAAAAACTTATATCGCTACAAAAAACTTATATCGCCACAAAAAACTTATATCAACACAAAAAACTTATATCGCCACAAAAAGCTTATATCACCACAAAAAACTTATATTGCTAACTTATGTATTAAATCTCAATTTGTGAAACATTTTCAATAAGTGTAAAATTGCATTTTTAAATAAAATTTTCTAATGAAATTAAGTTTGACTAGCCAAAATGTCGGTATCGGTTTCGGTAAAATATTTGTCGAAATGTTGGTTTTGGCACCAAACTAGAGTATCCGAAATTTCAGATTATTCAGTTTCGGCGTTTTTCTGTTTCGTCATTCACTAGTTAACATATAAACATGGATTTTTACTTTTTTAAAAAAGTCTACATAAGCTAGTTTTTTCTTTTTTGAAAAACTATTATCTGAAATAAGGAAATATAATATGAAAAAAAGTTGTTTTAAGCTACTTTTTTTTTACCATGATAAGTATTGAGTTGTCCCTGATGTTAACCAAAAAAAAGCTTTTTCAAAAATAAGTCTATTGCATGTTAAAAAAATTATATTAAATAAATTATGTTTTTTTTTTCTTTTAAAAAAGAATTAACTTATGAAAGTAAAATAATTTTTGACAGTAGTTTTTTTTTTTTTTAATCTGATTTCATAATGATATTTGAAATCTCTATTTAAATTCTCTTCTTTTGAGACTCAAAATATGTTTTTAAAAAACCTAATTTTTATAATCTGTAAGGATTAATTTTTTTTTTTAAATTGATTGAAAGTATTAAATCAACTTTTTTTAATTAAATTTTGTTCTTTGTTTTAAAAATAAAATATAAGATATACAAAATAATTTATTAAAATTATAAAATGACAAACTCTATTTTACAATCTTGTTTACTTTTAATAAGCTTGTTTCCAAATTTGTATTATGTAAAAATTTCACATTTACACATGATTTAAAACTGAGAAATTTTTACTTTTATTTTTTAGGTTACAGAGGAATCAATATTGCTTATAAGTTGTTCAACTCATAAACTTTTATTGTAAGTAGCACCTTTCTCAAATATGATTTAAGAATATAAAATGAGTAAACAATATGACGTGTATTGCATTAAGCTTTAAAACAAGGCATGTGATATAATCAAAATTATAATAAACATATATACATTATTTATGTAGAACCAGCAGGTAATTTAAAAAACTTTTAAACTTACTTGTGCACTTTTTTAACCTAAGTTAATAAAACACAAAAGTATGTTTAATTTGTTGGTGACCTGATTATTAAAGTTTTTAAATGTTAAAATGCAATGATCTTTGTTTTAAATATACATGGTTGAAGTAGAGATTCAGCAACATTTAAAAAAAAGAGATGACTAATCTGCATGACTGTAATGGGCCTCTTGCCTTTTAGATTTGAATGCAAATAAACAAAAATACAAAATAAATATCTTTTCAATAATTTTAGAAACATTTTTTTTTTAGTAACTGGTTGCCACCTGACAATAAGCATATTAGTGTAGCTGTTAGCAACAGTTTTCAAATAGTTGTGAGTCTTGGCAAAGAATTAATTTATCTAGAAGTTGAAGACTCCAATATTAAACAAATAAGGTTTTTTTTTGTTTTTATGTTTCATTTTTTCATCTATTAAGTACATTTTGACTACAAATTTTTTTCAAGGGTTCTAATTTTTCTTATTATGATTCTTCCCTAAACATTACCAAGAATCATAACAATTAAAACCCTTGAATCGTAACAATTAAAACCCTTGAATCATAACAATTAAAACCCTTGAATCGTAACAATTAAAACCCTTGAATCATAAAAATTAAAACCCTTGAATCGTAACAATTAAAACCCTTGAATCATAACAATTAAAACCTTTGAATCATAACAATTAAAACCCTTGAATCATAACAATTAAAACCTTTGAATCATAACAATTAAAACCCTTGAATCATAACAATTAAAACCTTTGAATCATAACAATTAAAACCCTTGAATCGTAACAATTAAAACCCTTGAATCGTAACAATTAAAACCCTTGAATCATAACAATTAAAACCCTTGAATCATAACAATTAAAACCTTTGAATCATAACAATTAAAACCCTTGAATCATAACAATTAAAACCCTTGAAAAAAGAACTTAAATAGTTTTTTTACAATTTTTTGCTATCTGTAAAAGTAATCTCGTAAAAGTTTTTGTGTTACAAAGATTATTGGGTATTTCTTAAATTCTAGATATTTTGTTAAAATTTTATTTTTTCCGCATATTCAAAAAGGTTTTTTAAAAATACTTTAAAATTATTTATATAATAAAACTTTTTTTATATAATAAAAATCAGGGTTGGCAAAAACTGGGGTTTTTTCTAAAAAAAAGTTTTTGGCTCGTTTTTTTTTTTGGGGTAATTTTGAGTTTTATTGGGTAAATTTGGGTTTTATTTTATATCTACTAAATTTTGTGTTTGTTTTTTGTTTAATGATATTGAAAATTAGTATATTTTTCTACTTAAACTTTATTTAAAATATATTTTACATAATGTTATTTAATAATTTATAAAAAAAGTTTTTTTAAACTTAATTTAAAATTGTTATAGAGAAAAAAACTTCACTTTGAATCTATATGTATTGATTTATTTTAAACTTTTTTCTCTATGCGCATTGGCCTCGTTTATAAAGGTTTGTGTTTTAGTGTTTTAGATTGTGACCACAATAAGGTAGCCTCCTCAACTGTAATGGCCTTCTCAGCCTTGGGAGGTGAAAAATATAAAAGATAAATAATATCACAATCTATGAAAGTATTCAAATAAAAATTGTGACAATGTATTTTCAAATAATGATTCAAATATTAGTATATCTACCCTGATAGCTGTTGTTGTTGGTTATAATAGTTAATAGTAATAGTTAATAATAATAATAGTTAATAATAATTTAGTTAAAAATAATAGTTAATAATTAATAATAAATAATTAATAATTAATTTAGTTAATAATATAATAGTTAAAATGTTAATGTTGGTTATAATAGGTCATAAAATTATAAAATATCTTTAAAAAAACCTAATAAAACCCAGATTTTTATTTAACTTGTCGACTTTAGACTTAATTTAAATTATTTTTAATCTATTTCTGATCTATTATTATTGTTATTAGTTATATTATTTTACACAATCTTTTAAAAATAAATTTTTTTTATTTGTAAAACTTTTTTTTAGTCATACAGTGTTAGAATATGAAGTAGCTTGCTTGGATTTATCTCCTAAAGGTTGTAAATTTATTGACTTTTAACCTTGTTTTGATTAAAAATTTATTAAATATATTAGGGGCAGTCATCACATTAAGGTAAGCCAAATATAGACTGTCAAACCTTGAAAAATTTTTAAAAAGTTTAAGTAAATGTAACTTTACTCAACATCCATATTTATGTTGTATAAAGTTATATTTTTAGTACTATTTAAACTACTACACTGTAATTAAATTTTATTTGAAAACACGTTAAAAAAATATTTATAAAAACTATGTTTATAAAATATTTTTAAATTTAACAGTATTTTTATAAAATAATATTTTCAATGAAATTTAAATATGCTGCTTGAAAAAACAAAAGCCTTATTTTAACAAATTTATACTTATTTAAACTAATGTTTATTTCTTGAAACATTTATAATACAGCATTTTTGTCTTATGTTTTTTTTTTTTAACATTTTGGTTTTAACAAAATCTTTACATTCTACTCATAAACTAATTAATCATTTCTAATCAGCGTTCATTCTAAGATCAATCTAAAAACTTAATGATAATGTTAAAAATTTAGTTAAAACTAAAAAAGTCAATTTTTTTATAAATTTTTTACATAAAGTTTACTAAAAATGTTCTCTAATTTAGTTTTGCATACAGGCTTGATTATTTGACAAAACATTTATATGCAGTTATAAGCACTTTTTTATATTAGCACTTTTATAACAGATTGAAAAAAATTTTTGGCATGAAATTCACATGACGTAATGCTTCTTAACAAGGCCTGTAGCTTTAGATTTCAGAATGCCATGTGGTTGCATTCTAAAATTTACAGCTACATGATGATCATAAATATACAGTTAAAAATATGTTAGAGGTTTTGATCTAGTCTTAGATTACCAGCACAATGAAATACTTGACCATATGTTAGATTGATTTAGATTGATTGGTTAAACTACATTAGTTGAAAATGAAGCTAAACATATTAATATCAAAATTATTTTTAAAATTTATATCGGCATTACGGTTTTCGTAACTCATGTAAATAAACCTTGTAAATCTTGTAGAAATAGTTGAAGTAGGGGCAAAATTACCTTACTATTAATATTTACTATTACCTTATTATTATGGCAAGATAAAAATTGTGTTTTATTTGAAAATTTTCCAGGGTATCTTATATTTCATAGATACTTAATTTCGTTTTGCCTGGGTCTAGTTTTTTCATTTCAGCAAAAATTATTTTCAATTAGCCTTAAACCACTTCTGTTAGTTTATAGACTTATAACTTTATCAAGCCTGTCATTATCTTTTTTAATTTGACTATTTTTAACCATGAATAAGTTTTCATTTTCCATTTTTGCCTTAGTAACAAAAAGAATTTTTATCCTTTTTATTTATATTTTTATTAACATGTTTTTATTAATAGGTTTTTTCTGTTTCTCAAAAATGCACAAAAGAATAAGTTACTAATAAAATCACCATTGTTTGTATTAAAGTTATCAAATCCAAATATAAACTATGTAGTAGTTAAAAGAACATATTTTTAGAAACAACTGTAATGAAATAAAAATAAATAAAAAAGTAGCTACATATCAAAAATTCAAAGTCAAATAAATATTGATTTATATTATAAATAATGATATCTTGCCATTTTTCTTAAAGATTAATATTTAAATGAAAAGATTTTTGAAACATTCAAGTTGAGAAATTTCAATGTTAATCTTTACTTGCGTAATTTCAAATCATTTTATTTTTCTAATAAAATTTATAGCAATTATTTTTTCTAATAAAATTAATAGCATTACAGTGTCAAAAGTCAATTATGTCAATAACATAATCAGAAATTTTAAAAAATAAACAGGACATGATAAAAAGAAAAATATGTTCTAGTAACATCCTGTGTATAATGTTTAGCACCATCATAATAATAATGTATGTGTAATTTCTAGTAATATCCTGTGTATGGTGTTTAGCACCATCATAATAATAATGTATGTGTAATTTATAGAAAAGTAATCAATAAGATTATTGATAAAGCAAATGATTCATGTTTTTTTAATTGTTTAAAAAATAAAGACAAAATCTACAAGTTATAGTTATTAACTATGTTGCGAAATTGTAAAAAGTTTTTTTCGCAATAATGTAAACTAGCAAAAAGCAACCCGTAATACGGGTTTTGGTCGGTCTGTTACATAATTAATTTATAGTGGCTGTTTTCCACAATTTAATGTTGCAAAACCTTAACTAATACCCTTTTAGAAAATCGCCTTCAGCTTGAAAAAATTAATCCATCTGTAAAATTAACATAAAATGTATGAGGAGGTAAAATAATTTACCAACTACTACTTAACATTTACTATTACTACTTAACATTATTTAAGTAATTTACAAATGGCATAGGTCATAACAGTGTAAAGCAGAACCATTTTCTTCAACATTCCTAAGTTCAACACAAAATGTTTTTAGTAACTGACACAAAATAATAGCACTTCATCATGCTTTAAATTGACGAAAGTATCAATTAAATCTTGTAATAATTATTATAATACGAACCATTAAAATGAAGTTAACTTATATTATACAGGAGTTATTTGTTGTTTTTTATGCAAAAAAATTAGGAAAAAAGTGAGGGTTGGGAAGTTTAACACCTCCATCCCATTGCAGTGGCAAATTTATTTTTATGAAAACCTAAGCATTCAGAATGTTTTTTATATCGGGTTCAAAAAATTCTCCAGCAATTCATCTCAATGATTTTTAAGTATGCAAATACACAATTAGCAGAGTTTCTTAACTTCTTGCATAATAGAATTTTTCGTTTTGTTTACTCTTGTAAATATTTTGGTCAAAAATAAGTAAAAAAATCTTATGACACCCTTTTAAAATAAAAATATAGATAACAAAAAGAAAGAGAAAAATTTCAAAAGGTATTTTTGTTTAAATTGCAGTTTAATGTAGCTTTGTGTTAATGCGTAAATTTATTATTTTTAATTTATTATAATTTGTATTAACACATATCCATCTAGGTTTGTATTAATGTATAAATAATATATTTATTATTTTAAGTTATATTTGTTTTTAAAAACATTTGAATATACAATGGTTTTTAAAAATTTTGTTTTGATCAATTATACTTGGCAAATGTAGCAAATTTAACTTATCGATTTTTATTTTTATACTTTGAAAAAAAAATTATTCATTATTATAAGTAGAAAACAACTAAAATAAAAAATCTAGTTGTTTTCAACTTTAAAATTAAATCATTTACATAAATAACCTCCTGGTTAATGTTTTTAGTTGTTTTATTTTTTTGTTCCTTGTTGTAATTTTTAGTGTTATGTTTTTATTAACAAGTTACTCAATATTAAAAAATTTAAATTAAAAAAAAAGATTTTAAAAAATGGTTCCATAGAAACTTGTTCTGTAGAAAAGCAAGATTTAAAAAAAAAGAATTTTAAGAAAAAGATTTTAAAAAATGGTTCCGTAGAATTGGTTTCACTCATATTTTAACTCATTAGAAAAATAGTTTTAACTAATCTTGCTAAATTAAGATTCCTATTAAGAGCATAAATATATTGTGTCAGCTTGGTTGTTTTTATGAAAAAAAAAAATTATGCTTTTATTGAAGCTAAATATGGACATTAAATTACTAAGAAACTATTATTAAATAACTATTTTAAAAGTCAAAACTCTTTAGGAGGTTAAAAAAGTCTGTTGGTAGCGTTTGTAAAAATAAATGTGTTTTTAAGATTTAAGGATAATAATAAAATAACAAAGCAAACTTTTACTAAAAGGTTTTTTTTTCATTTGCTATTTTGTGTCAATTGAGAAAGATCAGATTATTATTTTTTCTTCAATATGAATAATCCATGTGGGGAGTTAGTTGGGGAGTTAATCCATTTAAATTAATTCATGTATGCCTCAAAGTTCTTATCCAGCTTCAGAAATATAGCATATAGCAATCTTGTTAAAATATCTTTATAAAATAACAAATAATAACATTGAAATCTAGATAAGGTTTTATTTAAGATAAACTTATCTTATTTAAGATAAACTTATCTATTGCGATTGAGCCTTATGGATGGTTTACCTGTTTGGATTAACCTTTTATATATATTTTAATAATTTTTTTATTGTAGCAAATGAAACCACATCCGACAGGCTATGTGTTGGTCTGTGGACAGATATCTCTGTGCGAATACTTGCGTTGCCTAACCTAGAAGAACTATATGTAGAAAAACTTAGTGGAGGTAAGTCTGCAAAACTTTAGTATAATTTTGATTTTTTTTTTTTTTTTTTTTTTTTTTTTCAAGGCATAAAAAAAAAATTTTTAATTTGAATGATGATTTCTTTTTCTTTTTCTTTTTTTTTTTTAAATACTTGATTTTTTTTTAAGTATTTTTAATACATCTATGAGACTAAGTTGTCTTTTAAATCTATAATTCTTATAGAATACATTTCTTCTTTACTGGAATATATACATGTGTGTATGCACAAATGCAGTTTGTTCTGCATTTGGCAATAGCCAAATGCAGAACAAATTGCTTTTGGCTACTGCCTTGTAGATGGCCTCATAGCAAACATGTTAGGGATAAAAGTTATGTTAGTTTTTGTTGACTAGCTTTGCACCTCTTTTTCATTTAATAAGATGATCTAGATCCTGTGTTACATTGTTTCCTGTCTAGGGTAATAAATGCTGGATCTTTTTAACTTTGATTATGTGTTTTTAGACTTAGTTTAATGGTTCTAAGGCAGGTTGGTAGTTATGTTTCTTGAACTTTTTGGTAGCTTTCTGAGACGCTGATCCTATCAACAGTAGTACAATATTAGAGTAGTAACAGATTCATGTTGTGCATGAAAGGTATTCCTGTAAGTGTTTTTGGTGTGTATTATTTAGGCCAGATAAAGAGCTCTTTGTAACAAATTTAAGTTAATTAGCAAAATTTTGGCAACTTCATACCTTATTTCTTTTTCTATTTTATCTCCTTATGAGGATATGGCTCTAAAACTCAGTTTTAGAGCTGTATATTTTTCAACAGCTGAAAAGTGTCAAAGTGTTAATTGTTCCATGATGTACATGGGTGGCATCTTTGATAATCTTTTTGGTGTATGTTGTTAGGGCTTTTTAAGGATCCTTTTGAAACAACTTAAGGTTGGTCAGCAGGTATAAGGCAACTGCAAATCTTATTGCTTATAGAATGCCAAGTAGTATCTATGTTTGTTTCAAGTTTTCTCTTGTCTATAGTACCTAAAAATATTAAACATAAAAAAATATCATTAACACAATATTCAATCTTTTAAAAATGTAACTGTTTTTTGGGCTTAATATTTTTTCGTAAAATTTTACTTTTGTTGTTATCTTTTGTTATGAAATATCTTTCTGATTTCTCAATTTTATGTATGCTCTGATTTTTTTTCACATTTTTGACTGTTGTAATAACAAATTAATCACAAATTGAAAATGAAATGTAAGACTCTAATAGTTTTTTTAAACTTGGTTTCAAAACGCAAAATTTAAAATTTCTTAAAGGTAAATACAAATTTAAGAAAGCGAATTTTTAAAATAATTTTGTTTTGCAAACGGCTTATACATATAATTTAAAATTTTAAAATTGTTGATAAATAAAATTCTTAATTCTATCAATGAATAAATTTAAAAAGTTTTAAGATCTAATTCATAAACATTTATAACTATAGAGTTGTTGTTATTTTATTTATAGTTTTTCTTAAGTAAACTAACTTATATTACAACAGATGCCGAATCGGGTGGTTGCGTTGCCCAAATTATTTCCCTAGAATAGCCCCTGCTAATGGCAAAAGTGTTGATTGTATCAATAATTCTTTTGTTAAATGAAATTATTAAATTTTCTATTCAATAATTTGTTAAATAGTCAAAATGCATGACATGTTCGTTTTGTTTACAGATCTGGAGTGAAATATTTTAAATAAGTTTTAAAATAAAATAAAACTATTTATCATACCTTTATTTATTCTTATCTTTTTCTAAGAATAGTAATTAGTTGTAAATTACTTTTACTTATAAATACCACTTTTACTTTTGGATATTAGTTGTAAATTACCACAACTTTAGGTTAATTATATTTACTATCAACAAAAATATTTTATTTTGTTTATTGTTGTATTTGATTTCACAATATAAAAAATAACTTATTTAAAAATAAAACAAAATCTTTTGTTGAAAAATTTGTTTACTTTTAACTTTTTGTGTACACTTTAGCTACCTATATTTGTTTTAGTACACTTTAGCTACCTATATTTGTTATATATATGTTGTTGTTGTTTTTTTGAAAAAACTGGAAACTCCACAGTGCAAAGATTTGAAATTGCATTAACCCTTTAACAGTCCCGTGTTTTTTTAAAAAATGGTTGCAATTAGTCCAGCTTCTTTTTTTTTAAGTGGCCTTTAAATGTCCCATATTTTTAAATTCATTGTATTTTTTTACAAATAAGATTAAAAATGTTTTTACTATTTTTAACATTATTAAATACTATAAAATGTTATTTATTATTCAAGTTTAAGAATATATAAATCATACTACATATACATAAAATTTGAAAATGTAGTCACTAATATTCACTTTTTATATGATAATTGTAAAAAGCAAGGAGCTGCAAAAAGTCCTACATCACATTCTACACATTCGTATCCTGAACCTTTTTGAATATTGTGTTTGTAACATACCACACACCATCTTTGAGCATGAATCTTTTTATATCCCTTTCAATAATCATTCATTATATATATGTTTTTATTATTGATACACAAATGTATAAAATTCTATCTTTTCGTGAGTAAATGTTTACTTTTTGATGATTATTTTTGCACTGATAGAACTTCCTTATTTGTCATATTTAAAATTAAATTGAACACGTTTAAAAGACAATTATTAAAACAAAAGCTCTGTAACTATATAGTAATAATTTTTGTGACAAGTAAATGTTTAATTACTGATGAACAAGAAATAAATATAAAGAGATGCACAAAACCGTAATATTACAGCATGGACATTTAGAAACCACTTTTAGTTTGCGTAATATTATGGCATGGACTGTTAACAGGTTAAAAAGCTGCAACAAAAATTAAGTAAAAATCTGAAACAAAAATTAAGTAAAAAAAATATTTTTGTTCTGTTTTTTGTTTTGTTTTGATTGTTGTTTGTTTTCTGTTTAATATCTGTTTAATATCTATTTAATCGTTTAATTAGAAATGATTCCTCGATCCATCCTTATGATTACATTTGAAGATAAAGAATACTTACTATGTGCACTTGGAGACGGATCATTGTTTTATTTTTTGTTAAACCGTTTGACTGGTATGATTTTTGTAGAAAAAGGTTTTTTAATATCAACAAAATATTTGATTATTATTTTTTTATTCAATTTAACTGCGTCTTAGGTGTTCTTTCTGACCAAAAGAAGGTGTCCCTTGGCACAAAACCAACTGTTATTCAATCATTTAAATCCGGATCCTCCACACATGTATTTGCTTGCTCTGACCGACCAACTGTAATTTACTCTAGTAATAATAAGCTTGTATTTTCCAATGTAAATTTAAAGGTGATTTTTTTTTTAAAAAAAAACTTTTTTCAACACAATGTTGTTATGGTATATAATTGTTTTGTATTTTAATTGTTTATTTATGTCTATACTTTTACTATTTTACCAATTTGATATGGTTTAATCCATTTAGTAATTACTTTTTTAATTTTAAATTTAAGTTTATATATAATAGCTATAAAATAAATAATTAATTTCAATAAAGAGAGACTTATATGAATTCTTAAGACTTTAAAATTTTATTATTACAAATTTTGTTACTTTTTATTATTATTAAAGTTGATTAAAGTTGGCTTTTTTCAAAATGTAGTTGTAAAAATTTTATTGGCCACTAAGTTAAATTTGCTTAACTAAGTGTGTATAGTTATGTGTATAGTGTGTAGTTATTTTTCACAGCTGCACACAGTGGCATGCTGGTCCCAAAGGCGATGTAAGAATCCTGTATGAGCCTTTTTTTTAATTTTCTTTGAGAAAAAAATTCTTCTATATTCTTTAGACAATCAACAAATAATTGTTTTATGAGACTTTTTTTTTTTAATACCCTTTTGGGGAAAAATATTGTTCAACTATATTCTTTAAATGATCAACAAATAATTTTTTGTTCACTTTTATTCTTTCACAAATTAAATTTTGTAATTATTTGATTTAATGTATTAAACTTTAACCTCTAAATAATTTCAAAAATGTTTATTATTGCATTGCAAATTATTTAATTGTAATAAATAAACAAAGTGGCATCAATTTGTAATGTTGAAATTATTATTTATGAATTATTAAAAAAAAAATATGCTACTCAAATAAAGATATAGTTCCCCTAACAAAAAACTTTTAGACTAAAGCTTGATTTTTAATCAAATTTCTATGATTTTATGTAAAAACGTAATTAAAAAGTTGATTTTAAAGCATAAAAATTTATTTAGACAACAAAAGAAAAAAAAAATGATTCTGATTATGGCTTGTAAATATTTTGTTTAAAGGCAAATACCAGTTAATTTATCTAGTAGGTTTCTTGTATTATTTAAAATAGTATCAGGTGCGTTTTACTTATATACAATATGAATTTCTAACTTACTTATAAAGTTATTCAGGTTACTTGTAAAGTTATTCAGCGAAAAAAGTTTTCAAAATTTTTTTTTTTAAAACTTGGTATGTATTAAATATAAAATAAAGTATTTATTAGTCCTAGATTATCTATTGTTTTTATTTATTTATTTTATATTTCTACATTTCAGTTACTTAAAATTATATCAATATTTTTCAACATAAAGTATTGTTTTAGCAATCACACATCGCGCATTAAAAGTTATGTTTTTTTTCTACACTCTCCAAAATTATCCATTAATTTTTCTATATTTTACTGAACAATTGACATTCATTTTAAATCTATCATTGTTATATTTTTAAGCAATAATATCAATAATGCTTATAAAAAACAACTTTTTTGATAACGCAGTGTAACGCTAATTAGTTAACTCAAAGTTACATGCCGTTATAAAAAGTAGCATTTACTGGCTTTCAAATTAAACATATATGGTAAAATCCTGCATAAATAGGCCTTTTTAGGAAATCCCAAAATAGGTTTGGTTTCTTTTTTTACAATGGTTCTTTGATTTGAAAACTGCTCTATATTCTGTTTTCTTGAATTTGTATATTAATATTTAAAGAAAGTGGATATGGTTGTAAAATGTTTTTTGAACTCTTTCATAATTTTATATTTCAAGAAAATGGCATTAACATGTTTAAACCACACAAATCTGGAAATAAAATAAAATACTATTTTGTTGTTGTTTTTTTTTGTCATAGAATTTGAGTTTTTAAGAGATTTTTAAAAAAATTAGCATATCCATAATCTTTTATTTATATCAAGCTCAAAAAAAGCAAATATTTTCTTTTAAGATGCAGAGTTGTCATTTTAGAAATGGAATTCCAAACATCGTTGTTGTCTAAATGTTATTTATTATGAGTATTGAAATCATCAATTATTTATTATCTGAAGTATATAATTGTGCACAGTAGAGTATTTTGTACATTTAACAATGTTCTGCACATATTTGTGAGAATATCTTCATCATCATTTTCTTGTTCTTTTAAATCTGATTTTACTATTAGTGTATTTGTTTAAAGTTATATTCGAGTTGTCACAGATATTGTCAGAATCCATAGCTTGTACTATCAGTATTTTTTATATACACTATCATTATATTCAGTTTACTTGTAAAAAGTTCCATAAATTCATTTTTTTGTATTACAATCCAAACACTCTTACAAGTATACCTTAGTTTAAAAAACAGTTTCATAGCTCTGAAAAACTTGTTAATGTGAAACATAATAAAAACTTAATTAAGTGTGAATTGACACAGTGCATTAAAAGAATCCGCAAAAAAACAAAAAAGTTTTTTTGTTTTTTAAATAGTAATAAATGAATTTTTAAAAATGAAAACATTTTCTTTCCAATGGTTGCTTAAGTAACTTTTTTAAAACATTTTTGTTTATTCAAAAAGGTTTAATATTTATTTTTAAAACATGACTCCAGGTATCCATTTTTGAGGTGTCTTCATGACATCTCCTAAAATATGCTCAATGAATTTTTTTGCTAATAAATAAGAATTTTTTTATGTTGAATTATATTTGTTTTGTTAAATCAGTATGTGTTTTATCTTATTAAAAATTTATTACTGAAAGTTTCCTCATTTTATAGATATATTTAATACTAAATATGGAGCAGATCATTGATGCTCCATGATTGAGAATTTTTAGGCAGTAATATGGTTGTCATGTTATGAGGTAAAAAATTACAGCCTGAGTTAATGTTATACAAAATGTGACAACATGAACATTATGGTTTCTATTCTTTTGAACACTTTGTTTTTTATTTATGTGCCATGTACATAAACAACTTTGGGTTCTGCACAGAAATGCTGATACCATTTCTTAACAAGTCTTTTTTGTAAAATAACTTGTTAAGAAAATATCTAATAATAATAATCTATAAGTGGTATATATTCATTTTTAAGGAATTAAAGTTCCTGTTCTCTAAATAAAGTCTGTACACAAAAAAAGTCTGTTTAAAAACTTAATTTATGATTTGTGTTTTACATTAAGAACTTACTAGAAAAGCAATAATAAATAATTTTTACTAATTTGTATGTTTTGTTTTAGGAAGTGTGTTATATGAGTCCACTCAACACTCAAGCTTATCCCAATAGGTAAGTTAGTGTGTGTGTGTCTATATATATATATATATATATATATATATATATATATATATATATATATATATATATATATATATATATATATATATATATATATATATATATATGTATATATCCTTTTATACTATTTTTCTGGTGCTATATATTATTATATATTATATATGTGCATACATACATAAGAGTTAAGTGTTTATTTTTGACATTTTTATATTTTGAAAAAAGTTGAAATGCATCAAGCAAGGTTGAATGTACATTTTCAAACAAGGGTTAGCACATCAATAATCAATATATTTAGCAATTTAAAATAGCCATAGGAGCCGGAACTATAATTAATTGAGGGTTATAAATTAGGCCAGTAGCTCGGTGTAGTTAAGGCACTTTTAAAAAATTAGAGCGTCTGTATGATATTTTGTATTACAGGTAGTAAAAAGGTTTTGAAAACTATATATAAAAAAGAAAAGTTTCTTTAAATATTATAAAAACCTTAAGCATAAAAAACTATAGCATTTAAAGACCGTGTTTGGACATAATATGCTGACAAAACCATGCTAATTCCAAATAAAAGTATTCGAATATTTTGTAAATCACCTTAACTACACCGAGAGTGTCTACATTTTTAAGATTTTTTTTCAGTATTCCACTTTTTATGTTTTTCTAAAAAGTTCAGATCAGCACATGTTATTCAAAGTGTTTTTACCAAAATCTTATTCCACTACCTCTTAAGTATATTAAGATCTAAAGAGAGAAATTTGTATCATTCTTTTATTTGGTGAGGCTCATTTGGTTCAATCAAATAAAAACTCTATAAAATTTTTATGCAATATAATTGGTTAAGTTTTTAAAGGATTATCTTTTTAAGCTCTTTAGATATTACTTTGTCACAAATCCAGTAATTGTCACATAATTTACTATCAACTAATTTCTTACATGTTCTTTACTACAACACTTTAATACAAGTGGTAGATTGTTGACAAGGAGCATAAAAAAAATGCTGTAAAAGTTTTAGACAAAATATGTTTAAGTTGAGGTATCAATAGTAGAAAAATCTGAAAAAATCTGCAAATTAATTAATTGCTGATGCTGATGATATTTTGTATAATTGGCAACAACTTTCTTCGTGTCTTCTAATTTCATTAATGTTTGTTACAGATCACACTGGTCTATTAAAAAATTTTGATTATTATGATATGACCATTCTATTTGGCATGTGTAGCGTCAAAGTATATTAGTTCTGGTGGTGAATTTTGTCTCAAAATAGTTTTGTAATTTTTTTTTTTTCCATTTTTTATACTGTCTCCAACTTTATGTCTCCAACTGCTGTAAAAAGAAAATTTGTATTTTCTTTTACTTTCAATTTTTATATTTATAAGAGGTTTGATTTAAAAAGAAAATCTCCTAGATTGTCAGCTATCAAATTGAATTTAAAATCAATTAAATACTTTTTCCTAGGATATTTCATTAAAATAATCAAGGATTTTCTATATAGTGTTTAAAAATAAAAACCCAATGTTGTTAACGTACAATTAGTTTGATTTAGCCAAGAAAGTGGGGTAAAGGTTTGAAACATCATTTTATATTAAAATTTTGTATTTATGTTCCGCAAAGTCATTAAAAGAATGAAGCATATTTATAGCATTTATTATTTAGTTAAATAAGAAAAAACTGCATATTAAACTTTAATTTAAAGTGTGAAGCAATCTTATAGCATTTACTAAAGTTTTAAGGTTTATTTTTTATTTTTACACAATTTGTTATAAAATTTTATTTATTTTTTGAAGTTTAGCAATTGCTGATAAGAACTGTCTTACCATTGGCTCAATTGACGAGATTCAACAAAAGTTACATATAAGATCTGTACCACTCTATGAGTCACCTAGGTTTATTTTATTTTCTCAATGTAGCAAGCCTAAATTTGTTTTATTTTTGTCTAAATTTAGTTTTTAAATATCTATTCTTTCAATTTAATGCTTTAGGCGAATAGTTTATCAAGAATCAACACAAACATTTGGTGTAATCTCTTCACGTACAGAAGTTCGGGATCTTTATAGTGGTAAAAACATAGCCCAACGTCCTTCAGCTAGTATTACTGCGTCTTGTATAACATATAGTTCTGGTGACAGTAGTCAAGGTAATCTTACAGGATCTCAAAAAGACTTTGAAGAAGGTGCAATTGGCATGGAAGTTGAAGTTTCTTCATTTTTAGTATTTGATCAACATACCTTTGAAGGTATTTATTAATTTTAACTTATATTTTTATTTATATATTTATATATATATATATATATTATTTTTCAAAGTCATTTTCTTGTATAATAAAATATGTAGAATTCAATAAATACGGCTATATATAAACTTTTTGAAAATAAAGATAATTGTTTTATTTTAATATATATTAATTGATATTTTGCTGATCTATTGCAATCAGCGTCATCAGGTAGGAGAGAGTGGGTAGAAATGGGACAAATAAATTTAAAACAACATTTTAATACAAATTATTAAATAGAAACTGATATAATCATAAAATCACCTCATGGACATAAATGATTGGTGAAAGCTCTTTAACATAAAAATGTTAAAGAGCTTTCACCAATCAAAATAATCAAATGGCGACAGGAAGAAGCGGGGCATAAATATTTCTTTTTTCTGTTCCACTTTACCCCAATGTAAATACTTTTTTAAGGTAGATTTCATACTTAGGGCTTCTAGCGCACGCAGGGAAACAAAGCAACTTCTGCTAAATAAAAGGGAAGCAATTTAATTGTTTACATCAAATAACAGTATTTAGGCACCAGTCTTAATTAGAAATTTCAGGCTGTCCCACTTCTCCTTTGTCCTACTTCTTGCCGCTTTTCTCTATAATAAATAAAAATTGTTACAAAGAAAATTATCATAATAAAGTAAAAAAAAGATAACATTAAAAAGAGCATAATAAAATACAAAAAAAAGTTTTTCAAACATTGACGTCAACTAATAAAAAGTCTTAGTTGTCTTATCATCGCCATCATTAACAAAATATTTGCCACTTCTTAGTTCTTGTTAAACTTCAGCTCTGTTTATTTCAATTGATTTCCAAACAACTCTGGAGCAATAGATATGGTTTTGGGATGCAACTTGTCAAAAGTACCTCGGCGTGATTTGGAATGTTTAGTGGTCCTTTTTATTCTCACTAATGTATATAGAGTTGCATGAACATTTTAGTTGGTAGACGTCTGGGTTTGTATTTGGAGTAAGTTTTGTCTTATTGTTGCTGAATATGTTGTTTAAATTTGGAGCTGATGAGAATATAACTTTTATGATTTGTTTTCTCAATTCTTCACTAAGTTTGGATTTTAAGGAATAACTTTTTATAAACTTTCTAAAATAATCTCAAATTATTTGTTTATTATTATTTATTAATGAAATATTACTTTCTCAAATTATCAACTAATGACTCAAATTATAAAACTTACGCTCGCCTTAAACTCTAGTATTCTGTTAGATGTAATGTTTTTACTAATGCATTTCCAAAATATTCTTATCAATGTTTTAAAGTACTGCTTAGAAAAAGTAGCTTCTTTAAACTACTACAGGTCAGGTTCAGGATCATCACCCTGCTACCGGTATCATGTAGGATTTGCAAAAGCTAGGAGAATTTTTGTTTTTTAATTTCAATTCACCTCCCTAAGGTTATGAAGGCCACTACAATCAAGGAGGCTACTTTTAGTAGTGGTTACAACCCTCTCTCAACTCTTAGGGTGGCCAGCAGTCCTTGAAAACCTGGAAATGTCCTGGAATTTGATAGGTCCTGGAAAAGTCCTAAAAAAAAACACTCCTTTTAGCAATAAATTCTGAAAATCCTTGAACTTTTTTCTAAAATAGTTCAATATTTTTTATATATAGTTGAAATAGTTTAATAGTTTGTTATCATATTTTATACCTTTTACAGAAATATTATTAATATTGCGTAGATTTCTACTGAGCTTATTATGTTTTTTTTGAAATGCAAAAAAAATTTTGTTAACTGTTACTGTCAGTATTACATCTACTAATTATTAAAATAAAATAATATATAACTAATATAATGCCTAATATTTATTTGGTCGTTACCAACTTGTCAAGTATCAGGATGAACTATCTGATAAACAACGGGTGAGTTGTAGGGTGCCTCAAGGCTCTATTTTTGGTCCATTATTATTTTTAATTTATTTTAATAACTTTAATGAATGTCTAAATCACTGGAATGACATTGTATTTGCAGACGATGTAGTGATACATTATGCTAGCAATGATTTTAGTACCATCGAAAAATGTATGAATGACAATTTAAACTCAATTTCAATATTTTTTTGAAGAAAATGATTTAGTCTTAAATCTAAGTAGTGGTAAAACACAATCAGAGCTATTTGGTACGCCTAAGGGGTTGTCAACTTTTCCAAAAAATCTGTATTTGGTTTTTAACAATGCAAAAATACCATCAAGTAACACTTATAAATATCTAGGAGTAATTATAGACAGCCACCTTAGTTTAACCCAAAATTTCAATAACTCGTTTAAAAAGGCAACTTCCCGTCTTTACTTAATGAAGAAATGTGTCATCTGCTGATAATGGATGCAGCAAAAAATATTTATATCTCCATGATAATTCCAATAAAAACATATTGTGGAATTGTAAGTTTAAAGAAAACTAGCAACCAAATAAATGAAATCATCAAATTAGAAGCTAGAGCTGTTGCAATAATTTCGAACACTCATATTATTAACATAGTCACTGTTCCATCAATAGACGAAACTCTCAGAAAAAGAACTTGCATATTGGTATATAAATGTTTGCATGGGACCATGTGTTCCAATTTCAAAACTATTTTACATTACAAAAAGACTCAAAATAAACAACAATAATCTTTCTGTTGTTATTCTAAAGATTAAACTAGAATGCACAAAAAAGTCATTTTCTTATGCAGACGCTGTTTTTTACAATAATTTAACAAAAGAGGCAAAAAGTGCAAAAAATATAACTTTATTTAAATCACTTTTATAAAATTTGTTAATATTATTATATTTATATTTTGAACTTTTAGTCACATATATTTTTAATGTTATACTAATTTTAGTTTTTATTCAGGACACATTGATAGCAGTTTTTTATATAACTGAAATGTATGTAATGTTGGTTTTCATGCTCTATTTATGAATGAGTTAAGTACCTTCATTCCTTGATTTGTGTCTTGTCTCTGAGCATAGCTTGTATTCATTCCTCCTTGTTCTCCTTTAGGTAGTTCCGACCTTGTGGAGCAAAAATAGAGCAACTCTCTGCTCTCGTATTTTATTAAAGGAATTGAATGCATGTTTTTTTTTACGGTGGACAAATATTATATATTTATTATTTAATTAATTTGTAAAGTGAATTATTAATTTTCACAAGAAATTTGGTCTTTAATTTTATTTTTGTTTACTAACACTGGATTTAATTGGGGGAACAATATTGTTTCTAAACTTTTGCATTGAAGCCTTTTCAAAATAAAATCATTTGTTTAATTTCAATGTCTTTCTAAAATTATAAAATATTTTATTTAACTTAAATGTCTTCCTAATGTCTTCTTAAAATTATAAAATAATTTGTATAATTTCGATGTCTTCATTAAATTAAAATCTTTTGTCTAATTTCAATGTTTGTTTAACTTCAATGTCTTATTAAGTTTATAAAATGTTTTTTTTAGTTACACATTCACATCAGTTTCTTGAAAATGAATGGGCAACTTCATTGACTTCTTGCTCATTTTCTAATGATCCAAATACTTATTATTGTGTTGGCACTTCAATGGTTTATCCGGAGGAGTCTGAACCAAAAGAAGGCAAAATTATCTTATTTCAGCTTTTTGAAGGTAAAAAGTGAAATACTTTTATGTATAAGTTTATATCTTTTTTTTACTTTGAGTTAAAATTTTATTTTAAAGAAAATTAATTTAATTATATACAGTTGTGAGCATGAAAATAGCAGTACCTGGAATATTTTGAAAACTATTGCGCAATTTTTTTTTACTTATTACTGAAAAAAATTTATTGCATTTATTTTGACACTTCAATCTAATAAAACAAAAAAAAATTACATTAATAATAGTTTTACATTTTATTTCAGAAAAAAAAACAATAATATCAAGAAAGCTCGCAGTCATTGAAATAGCAGTGGTATCTGAAAATAGAGAAAAAATTATTTTTTATGGTATTAAACATTAAAATTGCAAACTTTTGAACATTATAAAGTTAAAAATAAGTCTAATATAACAATATTTACCCTTAGTATTTCGTTGCAAAACCTTTGTTTGAGATAACGGCTTCACAACGCCGATGCATTGAGTCAACTAGGCATTGACATTTTTCTGCTGGTATTGCGTACCATCCTTGTTGAGTAGCTTCCCATAACTGCTGAGCATTAGTTGGATTAGCAGTAGAAACTGCTTTTTTAACGTCTCCCCATAAGTTTTCAATGGGGTTTAGGTCAGGTGACTGAGCAGGCCACTCCATAACCTCAACCCCATTGACCTGAAACCACTCTTTTGCCTTGTGACTAGTGTGTTTTGGGTCGTTGTCTTGTTGAAAGACCCATTTTAACGGCATATCTTCATTAGCATAAGGCAGCATGACATTATTGAGGATATCGACATATATATGTTGGTCCATAATACCATTAATCTTATAAATAGGTCCGACACCATTATATGAGAAACAGCCCCATACCATGACTTTGGCTCCACCATGTTTTACAGACTTAATGGTATATTTTTGCTGGAATTCTGTATTAGATGGACGTCTTACATATTGTCTTGAACCTGTATCTCCATAAAGAACTATTTTTGATTCATCAGTCCATAATACGTTGCGCCACTTTTCGATGGGCCAATTCAGATGTTGGTTTGCGAACTGCAAACGTTTAGCGGTATGTTTTTTTGTCAACAAAGGGACCTTTCGTGGACTGTGTGCATACAAACTTTTCTCTCGTAAGCGTCTACGAACTGTTGTTTCACTCACCTGTAGGTCAAGATCATCTTTGACTTGCTTGGCCGATGAAAATGGTTTTCTTTTAACAAATCTAACAATTCTTCGGTCTTCTTGCGCGGTAGTCTTACGTTTCCCCCCTCGTTTTTCAACTTTTGCTATATAATTTATGGCATTTGAAATCATCTTTGCTGAACATCCGAGAATATTTTGTATATATGAGTAAGATTTACCCTCTCTATAGTGTTTCAAAATAATGTTGCGTTCTGCTGGTGTACAATGATGTCCTCGGCCCACTTTGAAAGGTTTAGAAAACAATTTTACCATTACGCATACTCAAATAAATAAAGAATATGTTATAATTGAAGTAGTACTTACTTTTTCAACGAAAAATACTAAAATCTCTTCAAGTTTTGTTAACTAACTTTAAAATTAATACAACCACTACTATTTTAATGCATTTTGTCAATTACAATATTTTTATTAAAAATAAAGATATTCTACAATGTAATAAATTCTCATTTGCTCAATTTATTTATCTCATTCTAGTACATACACACAAAAAAAATTAGCCCTTCTGTATTAATAGAAGGAGAGTAATATTGAAAAAATGAATAATTTTTTGGTACTGCTATTTTCATGCTCACAGCTGTACGTTTGTTTTTGTTTTATTTTTGTTTTTTATATATTTTTTGTATATATTTTTTAATTCTATTTATTTTTTTGTTCATTTTTTTTTTAAGGAAAACTTGTACAAATTGGCAGCAAAACAGTTAATGGTGCAGTGTATGTTCTACAGGGCTTTAATGGAAAGTTATTGGCTGGAGTCAACAGCTTGGTATAAATGTTTGTTACTGTCATAATGTAGTGAAGTATAATATCTTTTGAGTAATGTAATTATACTTTAAAGTTGTTTCTTTTAAAGAATTTAAATTTCTTTTTTCACTGAATCTTGTCATGAGATAAGTTATTTGTTTGACTTTATAGTTTATCTAAAATATATTTTTTATGTTTAAATAGGATACAGTTTATTTGGTTTATTACAGTCGGCAACTAATTTTTATTTAATATTTAATTATGATTTGTATATTAACTAATTGTTGTAATATTATGTTAGTAGTTGTGAAATATTTGTGATTTTTACTTTGAAAGAAAAAATAAATGTTGATCTATTTTAGTATTTTTACCGTTTAATTAACATAAAAATTATTAATTAACATTAAAATTTAGTTGTTTTTTTTTATTAAATTGTTTTCAAAAAAAATAAAACATAGTTGAAATTTTAAAAAATTAATTTTTAACAATCAATACTTTTTTATTAATATTTTTTACTTTTTATTATTTACAGTGAATATTTTTGATTTTTCTTTTTTTGCAGGTATCTGTGTATGAATGGACATCAGACAAAGAATTAAAACAAGAGTGCTGCTACCACAATACAATTCTTGCTTTATATTTGAAATCAAAAGGAGATTTTATCCTTGTATGTTGTATTTTATCCTTTTATACTTGTTATGATGTTGTATATTCTTTTATGTTGATGTATGTTTCATGCTTCATAATGTTTCTTCACAATTTCCAACACGTCTGTTGAGACAATCTCTTTATATTAATGCTGAACTTTATAGTAGTGATAGCAGTAGTAGTGCCCATTCGCACATGTCTGACATGGAACTCTTGGCAGTCATTGAAACCAAGGTAATGGCTAAAAAGAGTCACAACATTTTTTTTTAAGAAAATCTGAACAAAAGTGTCGATGCAAATATCCAACTTATGTAAACTTCAAATTATGTAATGTTCAAACAAGTTTTACAGTTTTTCTTTTGTTTAAAAATAGCATTGTGGCAATATCTTCTTAATTTTGATTTATAGCATTTATTTGCTGCTTTATTTAAAGTTTTTTGCTGCTTTATTTAAAGATATTATATACAAGATATTATATATCAAACATATATATATATATATATATATATATATATATATATATATATATATATATATATATATATATATATATATATATATATAGAGAGAGAGAGAGAGAGAGAGAGAGAGAGAGAGAGAGAGAGAGAGAGAGAGAGAGAGAGATTATATACTATAAAAAACCAAAGGGAGAAATTTTTTAAAAAGCTTTAAATTTCTTACGACATAAAAATACTGGGAGAAATTTGTTGCGCATATTTCATAAAGAGATACTTATGTTGTTAGTCTGCTCAGGTAATTAGTGAAGTCTGCATGTTTAACGCATATTAAAGAGACAACTTTCTTCCTTTAAGGAAAAAAGATTTTGCATTCAAACTTTTGTTTTCTTTAAATTTAATTAATTATTTTTCTACTGCTAACTAAAAATCATTGAAATAAGGAAATATGTATAAAAACAATCGGTTTGAAATTACCAAGACCCATATTATATGCAGGTCTGGGTAGCTAGTAATTTCTTAATAGAGTTATATATTTGCAGTCAATGCAGCTTAAAATGTACTTGTTTTTCTGGTTTAAGATCCTGACTTATTATAATACCATTGTTGTTAGGTCTTGCTTTGCGCCCAATAGCAGATCCAGCATAGTGTCGCTGGATCTGCTATCATAATGTGGCTGTATTATTTGCTTATCCAATGTGTGACAATTTCGATTTGCCAAAATTTAGTTGCATTTGCCATGTGTTGCACCAATCAGTTATCTTGTCCTGGTCATCTTGAAGGCTTTTAGTGTCAAGCTCTTTGTTTCCTAGCTGATTTGGTGTTATTAGTTTAGTGGGGTTTGCAAAACATTTCGCAACAAGAGTTGATGTTGTCTGGGAGTTCATTTATGAAGATGGCAAATAGAGCGTGTTCTAGCACAAATCTTTCGATAACATCACTAGACATTGGCCCATCTTGATGATGAGTCGCTTAGGAATAAATTAAGGACTCACTGTCATCAATTTGTTAAAAATGAGCGAATCTATGCAAGTAGTTGACTTGTTATGCCATATTTGCCAAGATTTTAATAAGACTTGCATGTGGAGAAATACAATATCTAATGGTATTTTTTTCACCATGGTTTTAGTGACTGACAAAGTCCATAGTTTCCAGAAGGTTTGTTGCACATGATTTATTTGTAACAAAACCATGTTTTCTGCTACAAAAAAAAAAACTTTTTTTGTTAAGTAGTTGACAAGTTCACTCCTTACTATTTTTTCTATAATTGTGCACGGGACTGACAAGCTGATTGGTCTATAGTTTTCTGGATTTGTTGAGCTTTCTTTTTCAAATACAGTGTTTTTAAATATACATTTGTGTCTAGCCATGCTGTTGGTACTACTCCTGAATGCAATAAGATGTTAAACATGAGGGATAATGGTTTGATGAGTTCGAAAGTGAGTGCTTTTACCATGAATAGGTGAACACTCTGCTCCTTGTTATTTATTTCCATCAATTTGTGATAGTAACATTTCTACCTTGTCTGCTGTGATGTTTATGTTGAAGATAGACTTGTCTTATTATATTATTCCGATATATTAAACAAATTGTTTAATATATAGACTATGTCCTTTTTACTTTTTTTTAGTTCACCACTGTCAGATTTATGGACTTGTATTGAAGTGTATTTTTTAATTTACTACTTTTATGTAAAGATTTTTTTTATTATGTTGGTCACTCATAGCATTGCTTTAGTTTTTTATTTTGTTGGTCACTCATGGCATTGCTTTAGTTTTTTATTTTGTTGGTCACTCATAGCATTGCTTTAGTTTTTAATTTGAGTCTTTTTTTCTGAATTAATTTTTTACATATAAGTTTTTTACGTATAAGTTCAGTAGTTTATCATTCATTTGCGTTTGAGCTATCAAGGAAGTTTTCCCAATTGATTTTGTCTAGCTTTTTTTTTAGTGATTTGTAATCGCCTTTGTAGTAATTAAATTTTTCGCTTGTAAAGGTGTGGCCATCTTTTGGGATGACTAGAAAGTTTCATTTGATTGCCAAATGACTTAGTTAAGTCATTCTATGTAGCAAGTCCGAGTTAATATTTTTATTTGAGTTATGTCATTGCGTATCACATAGTTAAGAGTGGTTTTACTTTGTCCATCTGCTTGTATGAATGTAGAAAAGTCAACAAGTTTAATGAGGGAACTGTTTTTGAGCATGTCAATGAATTTTACAACCAGGTTATTTTCATGGCTAGTTACACATACAACTATTTCGCATATATACAGTAGTGTGCAAAAAATTAAGGCCACATGAAATTTCACAAGTTTTCTTCAACACAACAGAGAATAATTATACTTTTTAATGTAAATGTTTGGGAACTTTATTAATTGATATAGCACAATGTGTAACGTACCAGTCCTTGTTATTTATCAGTCTATGCACTAATATTTGGTTGGAAAACCACGGTTTTCCAACACTGCATCAATACGTGCAGGCATGCTATGAACCAGAGTTTTACAATAATCCGGCATAATTTCCTTCACCCAAACATCCTTCACAATACGTTTCAGGTCCTCTAATGATTTGGGTTGGTGTGCCGCAACTTTCTTTTTCATTAAATTCCAGCAATTTTCTATTAGGTTTAAGTCCAGTGAACTTGATGGCCAGTTGTTCAAGGTCATAACGCCGTTTGTCGTAAACCAGTTCTGTGTTGTCTTAGCAATGGTGTCGAATCTTGTTGGAATATTGTAGTATTTGAAATATTTATGTGTACCTTTAACTTTCTATTCAAAATATCAATATACGGCTGAGCATTCAGTCTGGTTGTGCCATCCATAAGCTCAAGGGGCCCACGTCCTTGACTAGAGATACATACCCAAACCATAACACTTGGGGGAATTGTTTTCAGTGTATACTTTGGATTCATGTGCTGTCCAGCTGGATGTCTTACATAATTGTAACCTGATCCCCTGACCTGCTGGAATGTGCTTTTGTCGCTAAACATTACTGTGTCCCACCATTCCACAGGTTTACCTTTCAAGGCCTTACAGATTTTGATCCTTTTTGCCAATTGTACCTTTGTCAATAACGGTTTTCTTGCTGGTCGTCTTCCAAATAGTTTGAAATCTGTAGTTAGGCATCGTCTGACTGTGCAAAAATTGCACTCTCAATGAACTGTCCCTTTCTCATGAAGTGCTTGAGCTATGCGAGTAGAGGATGCAGCCGCACTATGTACTACTACAGCTTTGATAAATCGATCCTCACGACTGGTTGTTTTGCAGGGATGGCCGCAATTTAAACGCCTACCTGTCTCCTCCTTTAATGCACTTTGAATAGTACATCTTGAAATCTTTAACTGTCTTGCTATAGCACGCTGACTTTGTCCTATCCTTTTATAAAACTTGAAATATCCTATTTTCTTCCCATGTTAAAAATGCATCAAGTTAAACTTCAAATGCCTAAAAAAATGAAACAATATTTTTAATAATGTGCTTTGTGTTGATAACAAAATTTAACACATTTTGATGACTTCATCCAAAGACAATGAAAAAGTGATTGTGAAAATTTGTTGTTTTTTAAAGGTGGCCTTATTTTTTTGCACACTACTGTATATATATATATATGTATATATATATATATATATATATATATATATATATATGTATATATATATATATATATATATATATATATATATATATATATATATATATATATATATATATATATATACATATATATATATATATAGAGAGAGAGAGAGAGAGAGGGAGAGAGAGAGTAAGATAGTAGTTTTATTTCCATTTTTTAGGTTGGTGATTTAATGCGCTCTATGACACTTCTAGCATACAAACCACTTGGTAGACTTGAAGAAGTATAACTTTTTTTATAACTAAAGAAATTTTATTTTTTTATTAGTTTAAATATTTTTTATTCATCGTTTATTGAATTTATTTATAAATTAAGGATACAATTTTTAAAAGATTAAATCACCATGACAATTATAATTAGATTGCTCATGATTTTTCACCAAACTGGATGACAGCAGTAGAGATTATTGATGATGACACTTTTCTTGGTGCTGAAAATTCTTTTAACTTATTTATTTGTCAAAAAGATAACTCTTCGGTTAATGACGAAGAAAGACATCATTTGCAAACAATTGGCAAATACCATCTAGGAGATTTTGTCAATGTATTTAAACATGGTATGTTCTAATTTTTTTTTTTTGATGTTATTCGAGTAGCTACAGTCGGGAAGCTACTTTATTGTGGTTGCAAACCTCTCTCAATTCTTTAACTGTACAAACTGTGCAAAGAAATAAGTTGAATGTCTTGTATAGAAAAAATTTCTAAACAATAACCTGCAAAGTTGTTTTGTATAACATTTTTTTTGTTTATATAGGTTCTTTGGTAATGCATCACAGCACTGAACAGTTGACACCTATTAGTAGTTCTATATTGTATGGAACAGTACGAGGGGCTATAGGTAAGTCATTACTTAATGTGATCTATTTTATGCTTTATGGAATGTTATTGTAACTGGTTTTATTTGTTCAAAATTAATTTTTGTATATTAATTATTATTTTTATTGTAGGGTTAGTTGCTGGTTTACCTAAAAACACATTTGATTTCCTATCTCAAGTTCAAGAAAAACTTTCAAAAACCATTAAAAGTGTTGGTAAAATTGAACATGAATTTTGGCGATCTTTTTACAATGACAAAAAAACTGATTTAGCTGTTGGGTGTGTTGATGGAGATCTTATTGAAAGTTGTTTGGACCTAACAAGGACACAACTGCACGAAGTTGTTAGTGGTTTAGAGGTATTAGTTTTTTTTTTAGTTTTTTTTTTTTTTTTTTTTTTAGTTTATTAGTTTATTTCGCCGTTAAAAATATTTACAAAGTACAACAAAATAAAAAGTATAATTGGCTGGAGCAAGAAGAAGGCATAAAATAGCCTTATCACCGAGCCCCAATAGTAACACAAATAAATATCCGTAATACACAATAATCCGTAATAAATAAGCAAAAGTATTTAAAAAAAGACAATTTAAAATGTTAAGAAACAAAGTTAAAAAGAAAAAAAAGAAAAAAAAAAGTATTAAAATAATTGAAGATAAATAAAAAAAAAGAAAAAGAAATGATTAAAATATAGTAATAAAAATGACAAAAAATTTCTGTTTTTGGTTATAAATTGGATGTGATTCGACATATATATTTGTATATATTATTTTCTTTCAAAATAATTCAAAATTCAAATAAAAATTCTAATCCAATATTATAAAATATATCTAGGAAATTGTAGGTAACTTTAAGAGAATATATATATTCAATGAAAGTATGATAAAGACATTAAAATTCTTAGTACTGTTAAATGGTCTAGATTTTTAAATTTATGGTGCTAATTTAGTTTAATAAATTTTAAAGCTTTAAAAGTGACATAGAAGATCTGCTAAATTAAAATCCGTAAGTACTAAATAACGTCTTAATTTAGATTTGAATTGCGGAAGTGTTTTTTCTTTAATATTAACAATATGCTGTAAGTTTTTCCACAAAATTGGACCCCTGTACTGAATAGAATAAGTACATAACTTTAGATTATACTTTTGAGTTACAAAGTTATTTTCTGAGAACTTGGTGGGGTATTTATGGCTTACTTCTCTAAAATAAGGATAGAATATTTTTTAGATTTATTATTTAGATTTTAGATTTATTATTTTGATATACATTAGATATCTTATATATATATATATTATAAATTACATAAACATTAAGAAAATTAATTAAAAAATGCGTTTGGTAGAGTCATACACATTTTTTTCTAAAAAACAATTTACAATTTATTATTTTCGAAAAAGCATTTAATTCATTTGCATTTTTCAGCTTTTGTTGATTCTATAAGCACTCGCTAATCATATTAATTATTGGTTTAAAGGTTTTTTTATGAATAGAATGCAGTTAGTAGAACTAGGAAAACATGTATCTAATTTAAAAATTTTCTTAAGTAGAGTTCTCTAAGCATTTGTACTTAGTCCACTATTATTTTTTATATTTGCAAATGATTTATGTGTTAATTGAAACAATGTTGGAAAACCTTTGCTGACGATACATAAATTAATAAATAAACAAATGAACAACTCTCAAGCATTTTTAAAGTATTTAGATGAAAAATCAGGAAATATTTTATGTAAAATATTAGTGATTTAGTGCTCGTTAAGAGTCAGGTGCGATATTATAGAATTTTTTTAAGAAAGGAGAAATCAAAAGGTTTTAAAGAATCTAGTATAATAATACCAAAGTGAAACAACTTTGAAACAACTCCAATACGGTACAACATGAGAATTTGAAGAGATCTATTATATAAGGGTTTAAAGTATGAAGCAATTAGACACAAATTCAAGCAAGTTTAGAAAGTCAAGCTACACACAAGCAGAATAATTGATGGTTGGATCAACTTTCCGCAAAATTTTACAAATTCAGATTAGATTAACTCTTTCAAAATTAGCTCGATAAATTCAGTTTCGAATGACTCGATATTCAAATATAAGAAGCAAATAAAACATTAGAATTATGTAAACGCTATTTAAAAAAAAACATTTCGTTATTTTGTACTATACCAGATAGTTCTTATGAAAACCTTACGTGTTAGACGCAACGAATTTTAATATTTGTTGCAAGGAAATATATGCCAATATTTGTTTTTGTTTTTTAGCACTTAAAATATTAAACACTAAAGTATTATTTATTATAGTATATAATAAAAAAGTATAGAACAAACTTTGTAATATAATAATAATGTAATAATAGTTATATAATTAAATAATTACAAGTAAGTAGTTATAAAAGTTTTTTTTTTTTTTTTTTTTTTTTTTTTTTAGATTGAAGAAGCAGGCATTAAACGTGAGTGTACTGTTGATGATCTTATAAAAGTAGTGGAGGAGCTTAGTCGAATCCATTAAGAATATTTTCGACTATTTTAGTACTCGATGATTAAGTTTCTTGTTTTCAAAAATTTACAGTGTATATAAAAAAAACATTTTCAAGCAAAAAAGATATTTATATTTTGAACATAAATGTTGTTCTTTCGGCTTAACTAAATTCTTATGGTTTTCAAATTTTTTTTTTTTTTTTTTTCCATTAAATTTAGCTAGTATATAATAGTTGTATATAATTTAATGAAATATTATAGAAAAAGTTTAAATGGGCAGAAAATTTTTTTAAATAAAGTATCAAGACACCGTAAAAAAAGTTAACAATTATTTTTACACTTTAAAGGTTTTTTTACACTTAACAGATTGAAATAATGAAATAATCCTTTTTTCAATCATGTTATAAAGTTTTTTAAATAAGACGTTTTAAAATTTAATTTAAAAAAATGGACCTGGTTCTCTGGAATTCCACCACTCTATTGCACAAAATTGCTTCGTTGAGTTTCATTCATCGAAAGTTTTTTCATTTTTCTTTTACGTCAAATTTTTAAAATTTTTATTCATCCAAAAAACACAAGTTAACTGGGATAGATTTTTGGGACTTTTGTATTGTAGTCTAGTTCATTTCAATTTTGACTAGCATGGTAAAGAGTGCAAGGAGTGAGATCTGTTGCAAGGATACGCCTCTGACGCCTGACGTTAGTGCAAGTTTATTAGTGCTACCATTTATTCATTTAGTTCATTCATTTGTCTAGTGTTTAGACCATGAATTGTACAACATTTATAAACTACGCTTTTTTGACACACGCATATCAATACTTAAGCTTGGTGATTTAGCGCTGTGTCATTAACAAAAAATTTAGAATTCGGGCATATAGATTTTTAATCACGTAAGCACTGATTAAACCAGCAGATTTATTTGTTACTCGTAGGCCTTTGTTTTACCATTTTCTAAGAAAGACTAAAGCGGGAGTTATGAATCCCTCTACTCCTGAGTTGTAAAATTTTATTCCTCCACTAAATAGTCTTTACATTCATAGCTAATTCTTACCCAATGACATATTCTACAATCTGTTTCTATTGTTGCATATCCCAGGTCTATGTAACTGGACGGCTCCGTTGGTAACTTTTTGCAATCATTGTATCGCATAAACAATTAGTTGTTGTAATGTTTAATAGTTTTGCTTGTTAGAAGTTCAGCATGCAGAGTTGAACAGTTAGTATTAAATTCTAATTGTTCGGTGTGAGAGGGTGATTACTTTTAATCTCCACACATATTATGATAAGGTATTCAAGGATTTTTGTTACAAAATGTATAACGCTATTACCCAGAAAGTTGTCCGGACTATTCGGACTATCTAAAGGTTTTTTGTTTTCAAGTGGTTCAATGTTTGATGAATTTGATTTAGACGTCCATCCACAGTTAATGGAGCAGTTAAAAAGTTTTATAAACCTTGTTTTTAAATGTTCTTCCGAACATTTAATTCCGAATTACCGAACTAGTGCTAAGAATTGTTTGATTTTAGGTTAGATGCAACCCTTCTTACTTATTTCTTATTCATTGTTATACCCTCATGCTTTGTACATGTGGAATTCATTGTGAGTATTTAGTGCCTTTTCAAAATAGTTTGCAAATTGTGAAGTAATGGATTCTTTATCTTTTTTATTGTTTTTGTAAACTATGTTAATTTTGTATTTTTATTTAAATATTGGAAATCATTCCAAAAGTTTAATAGTTTATTTTTTTTTTTTAGCTTTTTAATTTTACTGAATTTCTTGCTAATTTTATTGTTTTGTGTCAACTTGATAGTTTTTCGAGTTATTAAATAGTTATTAAAAGTTAGTTTGACATCTTTTAAGAATCCTTTTTTTTTTTTAATGAAACAAAAGAAATACTTTAACGCTACTTAGTTCAGGAGGCTACCAGGAATTTGACTTTAAAGATTGTTTTTTATATTTTATTGTTTTTGTGAAAGCAATTTTAGAACAATTGTATTATAGATTTGGACGAAGTTGTTTTCATAAGTTTAAGATTGTTGATTGTAAGATTGTCATTAATAAGTTTAAGATTGTTAAAGCTAATAGTTAATTAAGTATCATGTAAATTTATAAAATTAAAAGTATATTGAGTGTAACTTGTAACATTGGTATCCTTTTAATTATATAATTGATATTATATAATAAAAATAATTGTCATTTCTTTGATATTATATGCAGTGTGCTGATATTGAAAGTAATAAGTGGTCTCTTTTTGATATTGCAGAATGTATTTTCACTTAAGAGATTTTCTGCTAAAAGATTTTACGCTTTAGATTTTTTCCATTAATAGTGAGTTTAAAATAGTTATTGATGCAATCTGGTAAGTCATTGACGAAGAGCACTAACAGCATTGGTCCAAGAGCTTTTGTCGCCTTTTTTTTATTTGGATTTTGTTTTTCAATGACTAGTTGTTGTTGTCTTTTTTCTAGCCAAGTAGTGATCCAGTTTAATAGCTAGCCCTGAGTACTATAACGATAAAATTTATGAAGAAGTTGTTTGTGCAAGTCAAATGCTTTAGCGAAGTCAGTAAAAGTTATGTCCACAAGATGTCCACGGTATACTGTCTCTGTGGGAATGTTGCAAGATTTTATCAAACTATTATCAGACTCAAATTACAAAGATATTTATAAATTAAGATATTTGGGTTCAAATCTTTGGCATTTGCCGTACCTAAAATTGTCAAAAAAAAATTATTTAAAAACATTTCAACCTGAGTTTCAAGGAAACGCAATTTCATAAAGACTTTAAAAATAATTTGTAAAATAGTTTGTAATAAAAACAAATGCTATTTATATTATTGCTGAAAAAATTTTGTTAAAATTGTTTACAATATATTTTTTTGTCAAAACACTTTGAGTAAAAATAATTTATTATCTTTATAACTTGAGACTTATATTGACATACATATTGACATACATTTTGGCACACATATTATGAAGGGAAAAATTTTTTCTACTGATATATGGGACCCAACGTGTAATGAAGAGTAATGTGGGGTGACAGATTTTAAAGATAAATAAAATCAATAAACACTAAATTCTCGTTAACTCGAACCTCAAAGGAACCAGGAAAAAACGGTTCTGCTAAACGAATGTTTGACTTAAGCAAAGTAAAACAACTGTTCTTGCTTTCAAGGGAATATAGAAAATAGTTCAAGATAACGAAGTTCGAATCCCGGTGTTTGACTTACCGGGAATTAATTGTATTTAGTTACTTTCAAACCAAAGTTCACCTGTTTTTTATATAGAAAACTGTATATCTGTTACTCACAGATATCTCGTGAAATGTTACTCGTGAAATCATGCATTTCACGAACTGCGCAATTTTTGCTCATTTTGTGAAATGCATAGCCCTATTGCGCAGATTGTGAAATGTTAAATTTGTATAAGTTTATTTTTTTAATAATTATACTATGTACAATATATATTAAAATAGACTTAAATAGGAAATTGCGAAGTGGAGTGTACATGTATCGACTGACTATCTAGGGAAAACACGCTGGGAATTTACATAAATCAACTAAGTATCTAGGAGAACACGCAAGGGAGTGTACGCGCACCGACTGAGGGTTTGGGTTGAGCAGGTAGTCTGTTAATCAAAAAAACATATACTTATTATAAATGATGTTTATTGCGCAGAGTATGTATTAATAAAACAATAAAAGTTTAACATTTCACAATCTGTGCAACAGCGCTATCCATTTTACGAAATGAACAAAAAAATTACACAGTTCGTGAAATGCGCGATTTCACAATCTGTGCTTATATATATATATATATATATATATATATATATATATATATATATATATATATATATATATATATATATATATATATATATATATATATATATATATATATATATATATATATATATATATATATATATATATATATATATATATATATATATATATATATATATATATATATATACAAATAATGTCAAATATGTTCAAAAATTTTTTGTTGATTTTGGTTGAGCTTGAAAAAAAAAAGAAAGTCATTAGATTCTTTGTGAGTTTTGCACTTAAAACAATATTTCTTATATTGTGGGCAATGGTGCAGAAAAAATCGGACGAAGATTTTGATGTAGAGGTTAGCTTTCTAATACTTCAGAATTAAGGAACTTCTAATTTTGTTAAACCTAGAATTAATGACATTTGCAATAGAAATATTAATGATATAAAAGCACCTTAACCATATGCTGAAACAATATCTAGAACAAAAGTTGTAATTTAGATGAGAAAATGCATTAACTAATTTTGTTTCATTTCAAATAAAGTGTAAAAACCACTTCACCCACCCTTGTCCGCTTTACCCCCAATGACACGACTCCTCTAAATCAAAAAGTTGTAAACTTGATTATAATTTGGTGGCAACCTAAGAGGATTTAATAAGTGCTTAAAATGATGCTTTTGTTTGCTACAACTTTTTTGGTTGAGTTCATCCTTTATATAAAAAAGGTAATAAATTGTTATAGAAGTAACTTTTAATATCCTACTTCTTCCACACTCTCCTATCTATCGGAATTAAAAATATAAAAAAGATAAAGTTATTACATTGTATTACTTTATCATATTACTTTTTTTATAATTAGTTTAAATTTATGAATTCCTATTGTTCCATTTTTGTTCCATTTATTCATTTAATCGGAATTATTACTTTGTAATGATTTAAATCAGGTATCCAAATTGAAAGTAAAACAAAATAAATAAAGCAAAACAAACGCGTCTTTACTTAACACTTATCTTAACGTAAAAAAAAAAAAATTTACGTAACATCAAGCTTTACGTTTACTGTAACTTTACTAAAAACTTTATCTCTATTCTATTTTTATCTTCCAAAACCCTTCCGAATACGTAGAATTTTTGTTAATTTTATTTTGTTTAATTAAATTTAACTTTTTACGCAGTTTAACAATTACACACCACGGTTTCGATTATACGCACATATCAAAATTTTCTTTTATGTATACAGTTTCATTCATTTGTAAAACAACATTTCGAATATTTTTAGAACCAATCAAATAAATATGCTAACTATTGCATAACTAATATGTTAATGTGTGTGAAATTAACGTTTCTAGAATTGAACT